CCTACCGAGGAGGCCAGCACTGCAGACCTCTACAGACGTCAATGGAGACAAGTGCAGAGCTTCGCGAACACGTTCTGGCGTCGCTGGGGAAAACGAGTACCTTACGACACTCCAAGTGCGCAACAAGTGGCAGTCTAATAGACCAGACATCCAAGAAGGCGACCTCGTCCTACTGAAGGACAACCAAGCCAAACGGAATGAGTGGCCAATGGGCCGCATCCTCAAGTCGATTCCAAGTGCCGATGGAAAAGTTCGAAAGGTCGAGGTTATGATTGCGAAGCAAGGTGTCGCAAGAACTTTCATCAGGCCCATAGTCGAGATAGTACTACTTCTCTCTCACAAAGATATGGACAAATAAGTCGACCCGTTGAAGTTGTTATTCACTTGTTTATGAGATAGGAAATAAATGGTGGTATCTCCTAGATACCAGACGGGGAGTGTCTTGCCTCACGGCAGATGGGGAGCGTATGTTAACAGGAAGTTCCTGTTTTTTGATGCTAATGTTGGTCACGTGACCAGGAAGTGACGATGTCAGATTTCCACTGTACCACTGGGGCGTCAGCCATTACAAAGATAAGTCAAGATGGCGGCACGCATCACATCTCAGTGAGACCACAGCCGCACTTATCCATTGTGGGAGCTTAAGAAGCATTATCCTTTTACCTGTTAAATCAATAAATGACGATCGGAGTTGGACGGTCATCCTGGCTTCGAGGGTTTATTGAATACATGGTTGTCTACTCGACTAGCGGTGCAACGCAGCGCACAGCGAGGCCGAGATAAAGAGCATTATTCTAACGCTCATAAATACATATGCAGAGTATACAGTATATTTTATTCAACATGAATTTTTCTTGATTGAGAAAAATTGCATTTTTCTTTAAACCCATTTCAATCCAAAATTGAATAATAACGTTTAGATCTTTGTCAATCCACTGCTCACTGATGGCCTCGACTACATGCTCCGTTGGTCATAGGCGTTGCTTGACCATACTTATCCACACTTATCAGTGTGGACCAATCTGTATACCACTTGCCACCCCATCGTGGCAGAGAATTTAATTCAGGTTGGCTGGGTTCATAGCAAAATGTGTGAACCACTGTGCCACCAATCCCATCCCAAATAAAAGAAACAACATTCAAGAAAAAATGAAATGTACTTTGTATGTGACCAAAATGTTACACGTCTTAAAAGCGTCACATTGTTGGTCTTGATTCACAGATCTCCCAGTGAGGCAGTTCAAAACTATGGATATGCTTCTTAAATCCCTCCACTTGCTACCCCACCCATCTTTGTCTATCCAGAAGTATGAATGGGTCCACAGTAGGGTGTGTCACGCACGAGTGCTGGGATGACATGCGAGTACTCCCACTTGTTGCAAGAGGTTCACCAACTTGTAAGACTCGGCTCCTCCCACCCTCAATCAGTATATATAAAAATACGGTTTTCTTGCAATTTCTCTCACTTGATACAGCTATCGTGCTGTGACTGTTCCACCTGAAGACGGAAGCTTGTGTTGCCTCCGAAACGTCGTGATTTTTATTTTATTTTGATTTTACCTTTATTCATTAAAAATGTTTACCTACGTGACTTTACCGAAAAAACCTAAGAATATGAATATTGGAAGACTCGGTCAAAAGAGCAATCTAAACGGCCTCCCTAGAGCTTCCATTCGTGGGAGGCTGCTATAGACCAGTGGTTTTTAACCTGGGGTGCACTCACCCCCTGGGGGTACGAGATGTCCTTTATCTCCATTGGTGTTGGACCAGATGACGCCAAAAGGCGTCAGACTAGGCTCTAAGAAAAGCTGTCTCTCGGGTGTGGACCAATCAACTTCAAGGACAGTGCATATCATTATCAGAGTTGTTTCTTTTTGTTTGCATTTTGACTGCCTGTGTTGTGGTTATTGCAAACATGATGCCTTGTATAAAGGAGTCAGTTTTTGTACCAGTTTAAAGGGTAAAAACCTACTACTATATTTTGCCACTGGTAAAGGAGATGTCTCATAGTGTAAATCAACCCGAGGTTGGCAACTGATCGCTCAGGTGGGGAAACAGGCTCTGTAGATTCACGAGGAAACGTTCTACTTGTATTTCCGTTTCAGATGTCTGACCCGATTTGTTCAGGAAATAACGCTTGGACTGTTCAGGCACCTTCGGGAGTAAATCCCACGACATATAAACAAATAACAACAACGTTCCAGCCGTTTGTCCATCCGCTGCTGGGTATGGCACACATTGGTTTGTGCCTTGCGTCGTGAACTCAATGACCCGAGTATGACTCCAGGCCACGGCTAATGTCAGTGGGCGAGTGATGTCACAACCGATCCTGGGTCTCTCTCTCTCTTCACGAACCCACACTGCGTGGCACGAGCAGTGTGGGTTCGCACAACCACCATGGAGCGCATGACATTCATCCAGCAGCGGATTGGCAACGGGATTACTTTTTTAGAATAACGCACAAAGAATAACTGGCAAACGCACTGGCGTACTCGTTTGCAAGATATTCAAGCGGCGGGGGAATTTATACGATGACGTATTTCTAAGAAATGTCACACATGCAAATTAAGGTGTTTAAAGTTAGGCAAGATAAGGGTGGAGACGCTGGCATAGTGATCGGCAGCAGCAGCAGCATCACACTCCACCGACTTCATTTGTGAGCCGCAGATTACATCAGCTGTGAGTGGACAATATCTTGAACGAGTTTTCACCAGCCTACACTGACCAGCGTGGTGAAGTACTGTACACCGTAATATAAAAAAGAACCCGTGACCGACACGGCAAAGGGTTCGCCGATGACAAGCATTGTTAACTTTTGAATGCTTTTGCACGAAAGTAATGCACAAACTTTAAGCCGAGTAAAATCTACCCAACCTACGGGCTGTAATTGTTGGGGGCCTCCAAATGGGGGAAAAAAGACATGGTTTTTCGATTGTTATATTTCTCAGTATAGACTGGGCTATACGTGGGCCAGACGTAATCTCTCTCTAGCCCTTTTAGGGACTGTCCATCAACTCAGCCATCGTCATGAGTCGTCTACATCAGAGGTCGCGGCAACCAAAACAACAAGAAGAGAGTTGAACACGTTGTAGTCTTCTGCGGCCAATAGTATCCATAATAGAGGTTTTTGGGGGCAGGACCGAAACAGGAAGAGGATATCTTCTCCACAGCTCTGGCTGGCGCCTGATGATGCCGGTTGTAATTACCGGCGAAACGTCGCGCTCGAATGGTAAATGTCGTGGGTTTACTCTCCGACACAACCGGCGTGCTGTACTAGTAACGAAGTGGCACGTTTTGTTTACGTGACAAACCTTACTAATTGGCAGTGGCGGGTTTAACGACGCATTTATATTTACGTGATCCAACCCAAAAACCTCTGTTATGGATAACAATAAAAGGCATTTTTGTTTGAAATTCGGTAAAAAAAATACCCCTCAATATTTCAAATGCGTGTGAATTAGAGACGGCCCTTAAAAAAATAGCGTCAAGAAGTAGTCGATTACAGAGCCACATGCGTCTCTGGAGCCGCAGGTCGCCGACCCAGGATCTACATTTGAAGACATGACGTAACGAGCAACAGTAACAACTCTGCTCTTAAGGCCAGTTACACGTAGCGATTCGTGTTTAGACACCCCACGAAACTAATTGGGGGAAATTATATGAGGACGTGGAACTTCAAAGCCTCTACCCGTCTCCCACCAATCCCAAGAGACGTATTAAATACAGGGTGCTTAAAAAAAAATGTTAACGCTTTCGAGAATTTCCAACAACGCCACAGGAAATAGTGCCGCCTTCGGGCTCTGGAGACCACCTGGAGAAGATTCTAGGCACGTGTTGACAACGATGGCGAACAAAGTGGAGACCCTTTGACTTTTTGAAGCGGTCAACATACATTTGATTTTCACGTTACAGTGTATTATCCGTTCTTTTCCCATTAAAAACGATAGTCCCGTATAAGTGTGTAAACATTTTTTTTTGCCATTGCCTTTCGCGCCGCCCATCGTTCATTCATTCACCTGTTGGAAAAACCAGTGAGTGGGGTGGCTAACTTTATTGACAACCAAACAGGCACGTGCGGTGCGCATTTTGGTGCGTGTCCATTTTTAAATCCTTTATATTAAGTTCGCTTGCTTGCTTGCGTGCTTGCTTGCTTGCTTACGACCGTGCAAATTTTTCGGTCGTTTTTTAACCCACTTCCCGTGATCCAATCGAGCTGACATTTTCCACACAGACTCGTTGTGCTTGACAATTAATTTTCGTGAAAAAATGTTTCCAAAATTTTACACTGTTTAGGGGAAAAAATGTAAATATTTAATTACCAATTGCTTAATGCTGGCAGACAATCATCTGACCCATAGGTGGCAGCCATCTCAAGCCAGAGGACGAGAGGACTCTAGCCGCCACGCATATAAAGGATTTAGAGTGAAAAACTTTGTTTTTACGGGTTCATTTTTAAGGGAGCTCGCCTCATCCTCTAGAACGCGGCACACTGCATAGGCTGTGTTAGGGCTGAACGATTAATCGATTTCAAATCGAAATCGCGATTTGAAGCAATGCGATTAGCAAATCGAAAAGGCTGCGATTTTTTTGCGTCCTATTACTTTCTTATTGGAATTGTTACATTTGTATTATTATTATAACTTTATTTATTATAATAACGATTGTTCTATGTTTGATTGTTCCGTTTCAGTCAAACCATGTTAATAAATACACGTTGGAAGCAATTCCTATCTTTCAAGTTCTCGTCCTTGCATTAGAATATATAGAGCAGTTCATATTTTGATGGTATCACGTGGTAATGCTCCATCACATGTTTTAAATCTATTACACATTTCAAATTGAACTGAAGCTTGACTTTAAAAAATGTAATCGCAAATCAAATCGCATTCGCAATATCTGCCAGAAAGATCGCAAGTTAGATATTTCCCCCAAAATCGTTCAGCCCTCGCTTGTGTGCACGGTGTGCAAATGCGGGAGCGCGCGCGCGCCGCGTGGAATACTTTTTATTAAGAGAAGAAGACGATGCTGGCCAGCACAGGTGGAGCAAGTTGCTCGCTGCTCCACGCACTGCGAGAAGCAACCTTGAGAGAAGCATCTTCGCGGTGGGGGTCATGCCCTGGCGAGACACACACAGAGCGAGCAAAGGGGGGAACGACCAACGATCACCGTGGCGCAGAGTCATTTACAGCGCTGAGCCGGTTGGTGGGAATTCCACGTTCCTATGGCCGGGAGGAGGGGTGGGCGAGACTCCCCGTAGGACAAGCAAACAATGTTGAGTTCCCCACTTTAATGTGTACGAACTAGATATATTTTAAAGCATATTATCGCTCGAACCCCGGTAAGAGGGATGATGATGAGGATGCGCCGAGGCGGCTCCCAGCGATGATTTGAACTCGCAACCTTCCCGATTGTGAACCCGCTTTACACCCCCCCGCTTCCCACGGCGTTGAGCCACCTGGCCAACCCATTCATTGTTACGAAACCACCCGATAGGCACAAACAGCGAAGCAAACGGTCCAAAACGCTCTGAAACATCGAGAGCAACGCTCGAAACAAAGAAGGCGAGAAATTGACCGCACGCACACACACACACAAAGAGCGAGAGAGAGAGAGAAAAAGTTAAGAAATGCGGGGGGACAACCAAACTGCAACGGAAACAAAGCGACAACAACAACAACAAAAATCACAACCTGTGCAACGAACGCGACTTGAGGTCGGGCAGCCCCGGAGCCGATAGTGTCTTGCAAAGGTGGGGGGGGGGGGGGGGGGAGCTTGGAGATGATGGAGCTGTGCGGTTTGTACGAAGCTGTGTGAGGCCGGGCGAAGAGGAGAATGTGGTTACGCGAGAGCGAGGAGGAGTGGAGCCGAGCCCGGTGGCTGTACCGGGGTGTGGGGGAGTTGGGAATTAAGTGTGGGGAGGGAGTGTTGGGGAGGGGGGGGGTGGTAAACCCAGGGCGGTTCGCTGCGTGGTGGGGAGGGAGGGTGGGTGGTGGGATGGCGAGGAGGTTTCTAGTTGACTGCGTCACCCATTCCATCACCAACATCGCCTCTGTCTGGCTCAGCAACAAGGGGGGCTGTCGCTTTGTTTTGTCGGCGCAGAATTCCATCTTGGGACCTCTCCGCCCTCTCATCCCTCCCTCCTCGAATCCCTCCCCCGGCTCATCCCTCCACCCATCGCGATCTCCACCCCCTACCACCACCACCTCCTCCTCCTCCCACCCGCGACAACACAACTCCAGCAGGAAAAAAAAGACAACGCTGTTCACCCGTGAGCCGTGTTCTTCAACAAAAGATGAAAACGGCGAAGATGCGTGGAATTTTGATCGAGCGAGAGAGAGCAAACACGCCGGATCAAGAGACACCGCGCGAAGTTTAATTGCGTTTCATAAACTATTGACGAAGGGACATTGCCCGAAACGTCACCCATTGTGCACGGTTTCTTTTGTTTCATAGACAATGTAATTGACGGTTGCTGTGCCTATACACCACTGCAGACGCGGTATCACGCGAAGCTCAAATTGCATGAAAGTAGCAAGGAGGATTGGTGGGACAGGCAGGGCACTTGAACAACTCGGAGGAGGAGCGATGAATGAGGATGGTCGAGACGTCCCAAAGGACGACCCGTCAGGAGCTGCGGCGATGAAATCAGTTCGCGTGAAGGTGCTTGTGGTGGATTATATAACGTTAAGAGGTGGGGCCGGCGGCTTGGGAAGGGGGGCTCTTGTCCAGTAGTGGATTGAGCATGGCTGCTGATGGTGACGCTGCGACACCCTCCAATGCTCGCGGACAGACGCGGCAAAGCATATACACTCACTGTATTTTCCGTGAAGCAATTACGTGTAAAAAGTTGGCATTTGCGCAATTTCTTGAATTTCCTGGCAGAATAACTTTACGTCTCAAGCACTGTAACTGAAGTCAAACTGACTTGAGCTGGAGAACGGTCAAAAATGTTTAATGGAGTGATGTATTGGTTGTGATTACACCCTATAGAGACCTCTTGTCAGATGGCTGAAATTCCCTAATGCGGTATTTCTCTAATCATAATAATACGATCGGATTATTGGAAGATGTTTGCTTTCATCATCGTCATAATCCTACTGATGTTGCAATCGAAACATAACTTCTTAGATTAATGTGTCTCGCCCTTAATAGACTTGACTGTAGGACTGATGTGTGTTTATTAAAATATCTTTGCCCGTAATTTCTCGACTAACTTTGGATGCAAAAGTAGTACACTGTACAATGACGACCCATGTGTAAGCGATAGACTTCCTGTGTACACGGCCGAAGAAGCGAAGTTTATAAAAAAAAAAAAATTTTCATGAATTTATGGTTTACATTATATTATCATGGCTAGATCATGTGGTATATTGCTTACACAATGCTTTGTATATTATTATTTGGTTCTTTCGGTTAAGTCACGTCTAAAGATAAAATAATAAATAAAATTAAATAATAGCATACGACGTTTCGATTGCAACACAAGCAATCATCATCAGGTATAATGAAATAGCGACATAAAATCTAACCAGAAAACTATAGACAGACATATTAGCAGACAGATATCACCAAGATACATAGAGGGAGCAACACAGGAACCAGAGAGGGGTGATCATCTCTGTGGGGTGGCCTTAAATAGACAGAGGGGGGAGGAGGCAGAGAGAGGGAGGGGGTTAGAGAAAACATTTGCATATCAATGAGTGGTCCAAAAACAAGGTTCTGCAAGTGCGATGACACGGCAAGCAAGTCTGAAAATCAGAAGGACAAACTAAAATTCAATAACCTAGCAAAATATCGAAATGTAATGTAATACAACACAGAGAGTCGGTCAACACACAATTAACGCATAGCCTGGTTGATTACGTATTTCAAAGATTGCTAAGTTAGAATTTAAGTGTGAACATTCCAAAGAGAAGACACAGGCAGAGAGAAGAGAGAGAGAAAAAAGGATAAGCTCAAAACTTCCCCGTAGAAGTGGTTCAATCTTAACTTTAGAACTTTCGTGACTGCAGTAAATGATTATTTGGTTCTTTCGGTTAAGTCACGTCTAAAGATAAAATAATAAATTAAATTAAATAATAGCATACGACGTTTCGATTGCAACACAAGCAATCATCATCAGGTATAATGAAATAGCGACATAAAATCTAACCAGAAAACTATAGACAGACATATTAGCAGACAGATATCACCAAGATACATAGAGGGAGCAACACAGGAACCAGAGAGGGGTGATCATCTCTGTGGGGTGGCCTTAAATAGACAGAGGGGGGAGGAGGCAGAGAGAGGGAGGGGGTTAGAGAAAACATTTGCATATCAATGAGTGGTCCAAAAACAAGGTTCTGCAAGTGCGATGACACGGCAAGCAAGTCTGAAAATCAGAAGGACAAACTAAAATTCAATAACCTAGCAAAATATCGAAATGTAATGTAATACAACACAGAGAGTCGGTCAACACACAATTAACGCATAGCCTGGTTGATTACGTATTTCAAAGATTGCTAAGTTAGAATTTAAGTGTGAACATTCCAAAGAGAAGACATCGTTAATTGTGTGTTGACCGACTCTCTGTGTTGTATTACATTACATTTCGATATTTTGCTAGGTTATTGAATTTTAGTTTGTCCTTCTGATTTTCAGACTTGCTTTCCGTGTCATCGCACTTGCAGAACCTTGTTTTTGGACCACTCATTGATATGCAAATGTTTTCTCTAACCCCCTCCCTCTCTCTGCCTCCTCCCCCCTCTGTCTATTTAAGGCCACCCCACAGAGATGATCACCCCTCTCTGGTTCCTGTGTTGCTCCCTCTATGTATCTTGGTGATATATGTCTGCTAATATGTCTGTCTATAGTTTTCTGGTTAGATTTTATGTCGCTATTTCATTATACCTGATGATGATTGCTTGTGTTGCAATCGAAACGTCGTATGCTATTATTTAATGTAATTTATTATTTTATCTTTAGACATGACTTAACCGAAAGAACCAAATAATCATTTACTGCAGTCACGAAAGTTCTAAAATTAAGATTGCTTTGTATATTTACAAATGAGTGCCATTGCATGTGGAAATTGTGTCAAGAATTTATTCAGGTGCTGGTCCAAACATTACCTATTCATGTATTCAGAAGAGGGATATGAGAGATATAGGACAGATGTATTCAAAATAAAGTTTTCGGACAGAGATACAAGAGAGGCATAGTCAGCCAAAGTTGGAAAATTACTCCAGGAGAAAATGGCTTACTCTTGTGAACAACATCATCTTAACTTACCTTCTTTCACTCCTTTTAACCCATTTCTTCTCCATAGAGTCCATGAGAGTCCAGTTTACCATGGCCCATGGGAGTCCAGCTTACCATGGAAGTCCAGTTTACCATGGAAGTTCTGTTTACCCTAGCCCACGTGAGTCCAGTTTACCATGGAAGTCCAGGTTACCATGGCCCATGGGAGTCCAGTTTACCATTGACGTCCAGTTTATCATGGAAGTCCAGTTTACCATGGCCCATGGGAGTCCAGTTTACCATTGACGTCCAGTTTATCATGGAAGTCTAGTTTACCATGGACGTCCAGTTTATCATGGAAGTCCAGTTTACCATGGCCCATGGGAGTCCAGTTTACCATGGAAGACCAGTTTATCATGGAAGTCCAGTTTACCATGGCCCATGGGAGTCCAGTTTACCATGGAAGACCAGTTTATCATGGAAGTCCAGTTTACCATGGCCCATCAGAGTCCGGTTTACCATGGAAGACCAGTTTATTATGCAAGTCCAGTTTACCGTGGAAGTTCTGTTTACCATGGCCCACGAGAGTCTAGTTTACCATGGAAGTCTAGTTTACCATGGCCTATGGGAGTCCAGTTTACAGTGGAAGTCATGTTTACCATGGCAGTCCAGTTTACCATGGCCCACGGCAGTCCAGTTGACCATGGCCCATGGGAGTCCAGTTTACTGTGGAAGTTCAGTTTACCATGAAAGTCCAGTTTACCCTGGGTCAAGCCCGTCCTACTACTATTCAATGCCCCTGCCCCCATCTACGACCAGGCCTACCCCAACCCCTTATTAACCACTTCTACCTTTCTCATGTTACCATAACTGCTGTACACCACCGCTCTTAATAATCCTACTCTTTCTCTCAACCACTAGCATCTTACGTACAATCGTACAACGGTTGTAAAGCGACTTGGAATACGGTGCTGCTATATGAATCTCGATAAGATAAGATACGATGTTTAACGTCCACTGTAAAGCAGATGGCGCATAGTATATTTTTACGGTTATCGCACTCACAGCATTTATCAGGGCGGCTGCTATATTCTAACCGTGAACCCCTGCAATGAGCTACAACTGGGGAACGTCACCGCTCTTGTATACAAGATAGCAATAGGAGAGATGCACGATGCAGATGATAATTATAAGCAGTAGAGACGGTGTATTTGCGGAGAGAGAGCCGTAAGAGCCACGTGAGAGAAATATTCACTATAGCAATATGAGAGAAATGTGATGACATGTGAAAAGATGTATTCAGAATGGACGTGGATGACAGAGAATTGAAATAGATGTAGTCAGCAGATATTTAATATATATTTTTAAAGGTATGACAGAAGATAAATATGAGATATGTATTCTGGTAAGATTGTAAGTTAGACATTTTGTAGAAATAAAATACATGCAGTGCTGTGCTCACAAGATGAATTGTTGCTGAAGTTCACCCAAGTCACCTTCCCCCAACGACCCCTCTTGTTACAAGACTCTAAACTTACCTCCTGGACAAGATGGTTTAACCTAATTATATCATACAGTCATGTGAAATAATTACGCTAATTCGTTTAATGTTAAAGCCACAGAGGGCCATTTTTAATAGGACGTTTGAGTGATGCCACAGGCTGGATTAAATCAGCTTTTGGGCCATATTTGACCTGAGGATCATAGTTTTGGGCAACTCTGAATTAAAGAGTCTGTAAATGAACGCTGCGTTGTAAATTTGCTTATAGACGTAGGCTTTAGTACCCAAAAACTAATTCAGTGCATTTTGAGTGCTGAGGGTGTCTTCTGCTAACTGGAGTGGGTCTGATTTGTGAATGCAGTCATTTGTAATGGACTTCCTTAATTAAATATCCGTCTAGCTGCCAGGCAACAAGAGTCAATGCAGAGGGTGATTTGGTCAACTGATGGTCTTTATATATATCCAGTACTAGCGGGAAGTACCCGGCGTTGCCCGGGCGAAAAAGACACACACACACATCGACTGACATACATACAAGATTCTAGTTTTGAAGCTTTCGTGACTGCAAGGATTCATACTCTTAGTTCTTTCGGTAAAGTCACGTAGGTAAAAAATGAAATAAAAATTAATACAAATAAAATAAAAATCACGACGTTTCGTTTCGTTTGTGTTGCCTCCGAAACGTCGTGATTTTTATTTTCGCGTGACGTGAGCAAACGAAACAAGTGAAATGCGTTGAAGAAAGAAGCGAGAATGAGTCTACATCATAGAGACACCAGTACGCTCACTGAAGTTAAGAAGCAGGATACAGACTACATTATAGACTGGCAGTACGCTGGCTCAATTTAATAAGCATTGCTACAGGTCACATAATAAACTGGCAATACGGTCACCAGCTTAAAAAGCAGGCGACAGTCTAGAATCAGGGGTGGGGAACACGTCCGGCCCGCAGGCCGTATGAGGCCCGCAAAATCATTTGGTGTGGCCCTGCCAAGGCAACCGCAGGCGGGACTCGAAATTCAATAAATCTAGGAGCAAACCTGGAAAAGCAGTTGCGAGTAGCAACATCATCATCAATACCAGCTAACATCACACGCCTCGCCAAAGAGAAGCAGTTCCAGCCATCACATTGGGAGTGAGTTAATTAAATGTTTGACCAAATATAACGGGCTAATTTTTAAGTTGATAATTTTGTATGGCCCGCGAATGATGTTATAAATATCCAAATGGCCCTTGGCAGAAAAAATGTTCCCCACCCCTGGCTCTAGATAATAGACTGCCAGTACACTCACCGAGGTAAAGAAGCAGGCAACAGTCTACATTATAGACTGGCATACACTCACACAGCCTAATATCAATATGTACATTGTACATAATAGACTGGCAGTGCACTGACTTTAATTAATAAGCAGGCAACAGGCCACATTATAGACTGCCAGTACACTGGCCCAGCTTGATAAAAAAGTCTACAGTCTACATAAGAGACTGCCAGTACACTCACCTTACTTAATAACCACGCAACAGTCGACAGTATAGACTGTCAGTACACTCAGTGCTATCAAGAAGCAGGCTGCAGTGTACATAAGTGGAAGTTTTGTGTAGTTTAAAAGTGTAATTATATTTGTACAAATGTATTTAGTACTCACATTAAATATTTCATTGAAATTTGTCTATGTACGTGACGGTAACGAAAGTAGCAATGTACGTGACGTGAGCGAAAGTTTCAAAGAAGAAGGGAAATTAATGCGGTGAAAGAGTAAGAGTACATTAATCAAGCACGTTGACGATGTTTTTGCTGCCATGTGATTTTGTAAATTGGCCGCGAGCAAAAGGCTAAAATGAATTAAGGGGGTGGGTGGCCAGCACCACGCCCGACCGCCTTTGTCTCCACAGTGGCGATGTTTACACACCGCACCAGGTACTCATTTAAGGCTGAGTCGATCTAGGGGAAGCCCAGTACCGGTTGAGATAATCGTCACTGGTGTTGGCCGTGAGCGGGAATCGAACCCGGGTCGCCAGGTTCATAGCGCAGCGCGCTAACCGCTACACACACATGGACTGACACACATACAGCGACTCACACACAAATGGACTATTACACACACACTTGGAGATAAATGTAAACAAAGTAATAATATTCTTAGGTTTTTTCGGTAAAGTCACGTAGGTAAAAAAATTATAATTAATAAAAAGTAAAATAAAATAAAAATCACGACGTTTCGGAGGCAACACAAGCTTCCGTCTTCAGGTGGAACAGTCACAGCACGATAGATGTATCAAGTGTACTAATAGTTCTTGATATAAAGTCCTGCTCATGACAGGAAAGTTCGTGGGGGAAACAGACACAATGGCTGTACTTTGGTGTCTTAAGGAAATGAAATAGAACAGTGCCCAGTGGGGAAAAAATCGTGTTACGTAGTGCATATTTACTGTCATTAAACATTGGTGAATGTCTATGCTGTATTATGGAAAGAGAAAAACCAGTAATACAAGTGAGAGAAACTAACATATATGTATGTTTGAAGGTAGCCGTCAATCCGCGTGACTTACCTTGTACAGGGTATCGACGCGAATGACAATTTCTCTCCCCCCACCACCAATCGACGAATCGCGCTTGTGCGTTGCTGGGGGCAACTCCTGGGCAGCAAAAATAGAAATACCACTAAATAGTAAAACAATAAGTTGTTTGAAGTTGACGAATGGGGAATTGAAATAGCGCTGGCTCCGTACGAAGCTGATGGCCGTGGTACCTGGCTACATTTTTTTTAAACGTGAACCCGCCGGGTTTGCGAGCCAAATTCTTCGCAAGTTTCGGTCACACACACACAGACACGGACGGACAGACAGACAATGACATTTATATTTCGATGTAAAGCTTTCGTGACTGCAGGGAGCATATTCTTGGTTATTTCGGTAAAGTCACGTAGAAGGGAAACAATAAAATGATAAAATAAAAAAAATAATTCTCACGACGTTTCGATTGCAACACAAGCAATTATCATCAGGTGTCAAAACCACAGCAAGACATTCATAGGTAAGAAAAAAAAATATTCCAAGGACACCAGCGAATACTACTGCTTTCACTAACTTTGAAAAGAAAACCCCAAGTTGATTCTTATACGATTCGTACAGTGATCATATCACATTTACCAAACTGTCTTCCCGACAGACCTGTTCTTCACCTGAGGACGGCTGCTTGCGTTGTGGCCGAAACGTCGTGAGAATTATTTTATTATGTTTAATTTGTATTATTTTATTATTTCCCTTCTACGTGACTTTACCGAAAGAACCAAGAAGATTAATCCCTGCAGTCACGAAAGCTTTAAATCGAAAAATTAACAGCAATGTCTTTTGCTCGTGCCATTGCCGGTAGAAGGTGCCTCCAATAGAAGGCCCCTCTAGATTATACTGGGTGGCCCAGATGTCTTGTGTCCCCCCTCCCCTCCCCATGTATTGACCCCGATTTTTTTTAATCATTTGCATATTCATTTCTGCTTTAAATAAAACCTTAAACAAAAATACGAAGCATTAGATAACTCATGGGGGGGGGGGGGGTGTCACAAGACATGTGAACCAACCGTGGATATAGTATTTTGGCCTTCTCTTTCACACCGGCCAGGCTCATCGGAAGCTGTGGGGCTGTGGGTATGGGGCCGTCCATAAATGACGTCACGCACCTGAGAGGGAGGGGGGGGGGTCAGACATTTGTGTGCGCAACTTTAAATAAATATAGAATTGTTATAACAACACTAATTGTTATGACAACACTCCTACAACATCTGAGTGCAGCGCCACATTAAATACGCACTACAATGACAATAGTTTAAAGCGATTTGAAGAATGTTTTATTAAAAAAATGGAACTATGGTTTGGTGGGGGGCAGAGCTTTGTGACGTCATATTTGAGGGTGGGTCTGACTTTTTGTGACGCCATGTGACGAGGGGGGGGGGGGGGAGGTCAAAAATCGTCCAAAATCGCGTGACGTCATTTATGGACGCCCCCTACAGTATACCCATACCTTACCTCATCACACGCGACCCAGCGATTGGTTAACTGCGATGTGCTCATTTGTACCGGGTATTACAAACATACAAACCTGGCCATTATTTCAATGTCCGTGACAGGAGATCGAATACCAACCAATGACCTCTGTATTGTCAGTCCAGTTGTGCTAACCATTACCCCACGGCAGCATTGACGTGTCATCCTCTCCCATAGAGTCTAATCGGATTGCTTCCCCCACAAGTAAAGCCAGAATTGAATGCGATTACAATACCGTAATCACATTATGGTAATCACTCTTTGACTCTCATCGAGATTTATATCAATCGAGATGCATGCAGTGTGCCAGAGTATCATACTTTCTTGCACATAGGGTACGTATTGTATGAAGAAAGTTAAAAAAGCAACGCTTAGCTGAAGGGAGACTCGAAGCTCACAGGGACATTAAAAGTCGGAGATCATTCAATACGATTACTTAAATAACATTCATACACTACTTCCCTGTACGTGCGTATGAAGTCACTACAAATGTATATTGTAACAAAAAAACCCCAGACAAACCGTACCACTTGTGCTAATCCTCAAGGATGTTTGAAGGACTGTAGGTGGCACCCCGCGCATGTTTCAACATGTGACGATCATGAAATCCGTGGCGCATGGCGGAAGTCTTGGGTGCAGCTGCGCATAACTTTGAAAAAATTAACCCGTAAAAACAAAGTTTTTCACTCTAAATCCTTTATATGCGTGGCGGCTAGAGTCCTCTCGTCCTCTGGCTTGAGATGGCTGCCACCTATGGGTCAGATGATTGTCTGCCAGCATTAAGCAATTGGTAATTAAATATTTAGTTTTTTTTCCCTAAACAGTGTAAAATTTTTGAAAAAAATTTTCACGAAAATTAATTGTCACGCACAACGAGTCTGTGTGGAAAATGTCAGCTCGATTGGATCACGGGAAGTGGGTTAAAAAACGACCGAAATTATTTGCACGGTCGTAAGCAAGCAAGCAAGCACGCAAGCACGTAAGCAAGCAAGCGAACTTAATATAAAGGATTTTTAAAAAATGCCTTCATTTCCAGTTGCCCTCGATACTGGATACTGGTTACGGTAAGTGTTGCATTTATTACCTCCGGGGAGCAGTTGTCGGGGCGGTTAGTGAATCTGGCGACCTCAACTTTAATTCCCAGCCGCAGCTAACAACGGCGTTGAGCGATATCTCAACCGAGCCAAGAGCCCTTCATCACCTGGAGCAATACACACTTTATGAATTGTGAAGTTTAGCCTCTGCGTAGAGACACCGCGCTTGCGGGCCTGTCTTGAGTGGTAGATTGACAAGAGGGCTAGAAATTACCTAATGTAATGAGCCAAGAATATCTGTGTGTAACGCGCGTGGCGTCACTCGACGTCGACCAGCCCCCCTCATTAATAATCATGAACAGGTGGGGTCCTCCACATCGACAGCCCCCCCCCCACCGTCATTAATAATCATGATCGGGTGACGTCACTCCGCATGAAGAAGGCGGAGCGGAAACGAAAATTTGTTTACGCAAATCAGCTTTCATTTTGAACTTTTTTTTATGGAAAGTAAAACTAAGAAAGAAATCAACGCAGCAACTAATATAACAAGCCAAAAAAGGCTGTGTGTGTGTCCCGCGCGTGACGTCACCCCACATGGGCCCCCCTCCTCATTAATAATCATGAGCTGAATAATTTTTCTATTTCATAATTCAGATTTACAGCAATATAAACCCGTCCTTGGACGGGCAAACAAGCTCGTTCAGATATATTACTCATTGAACATCAAGGAGCTGCCTTGATGTGGAAAATTAATCTTGAGTGTCTTAAATGCGTCGTAACAAATAAATAAGTACTGGATAGGGACGATCATGCCAGTCAGGTACTCAGCAAGAGGTGAGAGATCCGTGCACTGTCTTAAACAACCCACAATAACCAGCGCGGTGAAGTATGTTCACACCCCCCCCCCCTGTCACCGACGCACCTAAATCATGGCCTTGAGTACCCCAGCAGCTGTGGATTGGAAATTCGAGGTGGGTTCAACTCGGATGGCAAAGGAGCATGAGTTGTGACGGACACACGGGGGATGAGAGGACGCCTCCATAATTGAACCATTGCTTACGCAGAACACGCGGAACCTGACAGGGGAAAAAACAACTTGTTGAAAATGGTTTACGTAATTATCAGAAATAAATTGCAACATAATTGGTCTCGGCTCAGCAGAGAGGAGAGTGAACAGAGGAGAGAATTACGCAAATTTAATTCGTGCAATTACATTGGAGAAATATATTTAAATGGTCAAAGTATTATCTCTCGTAGATTTGCGGATAGCCTTGTCAATATAAACACCCCATTAATTACAGGCAATTATTTAATTAAATTACAAAAAAGGTTATATTTTTTTCAAATACAGGCATAACAAAAGCGATGGACAAAACCTGTACCGAACAAATGTGTTGCAGTGGCACAATTGCTAAACACTGTAGATCAGGCTGAAACCAATGGCACGATTTGAAGAAGTAAGCATGTGCATGCTGTAGCACTTTTTGAAAGTTGAACTTGATCACGAAAGCAGCATAATTATGTGCCTTGAGAAGTGTTCAATCGTTCCGCACTGAATCAGTGACAGAGCGCGACAAAGGGAACTGAACAAAAGATCAAAAGTGGGCAAAGAAGCAAAGCGAGATGGGAAGAGAACTTACCTCGATCAGGGTAAAATCGGAAATCAAATAAAAAATATTTACTGTTAAGGAAAGCAAGCGGGCTCGGGTAAGTACAAATTGCTAGAAAGGGTTATATGTGAAGGAGATGAATAGTGATGTATGGCCATTCCAAATGACATGTGCCCGAAAGGATGACGATCCTGGAGATGGAGTGATGAGATCAATTCACGTGCAAGAACGAGATGGATTACTGCATCGCAGACCCATTAGATATCCTCGCGGTGTGGAAAGGTCTTCATCCAGCAGCGGACAAACAATGGCTCACGACGATGATGATGATGACTTATCACTAGAGGCATTGATCATATCTCCTTTTCTATTCGGTCTGCTCCGACTGCTCCCCCGAAAAGTATACTTTGAGAGGAATTATCTGGACAAAAGAGGATTCTTCCATTCTAGATTTGAAGCTTTCGTGACTGCAAGAATTCATACTCTTAGTTCTTTCGGTAAAGTCACGTAGGTCACTTGATGCAGCTAATCTGGCTGTGACGGTCCCACCTGATGACGGAGATTTGTGTTGCCTCCGAAACGCCGTGATTTTCATTGTTTTATTTTTATTAATTTTTATTTCATTTTTTACCTACGTGACTTTACCGAAAGAACTAAGAGTAGGATTCTTCCAAGTGATTAGCACGGTTGGCTTCGTACAGCGCGAAGGGAGTTCAACAAAGATATATGACTTTTGAGCAACAGCATGATAATTGTGGCACTCAATTAAAATTTTAGAAAACCATTAAAATACTTAATCGGGAAAAATTAATGATGCGCGCGGATTATTTAATTATTAAACAAGCACACCTTGTCATCTGTAAAAGCTCCCCAAAAAAAACCCCTTGCAAAATCTAAACACAGCAAGAAAGCAATGTGGTTAGGCTGATTAGCAGAAACTAACAGCACATGGAAACGTCCAGCCCTTGTTCAATCCACTGCTGGATGAAGGCCTTACTTCAATACTGCTGGTCAGTGAGGGGGTTGGTGAAGGCGGTGGGAGGTGTGAGGAGGAACAAAAAACTAATTCGGATTTCCTGATAAAAAAATTTCTGCCGCCCGGAATTGAACTCACATCACTGGATGCCTCATCCCGTCGATCGCCGCCAACTGCAGTGCGACGAGCAAACGTAGTGAACTGCGCACGATGATGCTTCAAAAAAAATTAACCCGTAAAACAAAGTTTTTCACTATAAATCCTTGATATGCGTGGCATCGGTTTTATTTTATAATTCATTTCTGTTTTTCTTGAGTAAGAGTTTCATTTTTATCACATTGGTATTTTAAATTAAATATGAAATTTTTTTCCCCTAAAAAGTGGAAAATTGTGGAAATTTTGTTTTCACGAACATTAATTGTCACGTACAACGAGTCTGTGTGCAAAATTTCAGCTCGATTGGATCACGGGAAGTGGGTTAAAAAACGACCGAAAGATTTGCACGGTCGTAAGCGCGCAAGCAAGCAAGCAAGTAAACTTAATATAAAGGATTTAAAAATAGGCATGTCTTCAAAGAATATTGCCGATATTGAAACCACACAATAAGGCCTATCCTTCGCCACCGTTCACTTTTAGAATGCGGCATGGACAGCAAACTGGCAGGAGCAGTTGGCGCAGCGGTTCGTGCGATCAGAATCAGATTTATTCATACCGGAGGAATCCGACGAGCTGTAAAGCTTTTTTTTTTAACAGATCGGGCGCGGGTCAGAACGTTACGACAACAAACGAATACAAAACACGTGCTATGAACCGGGTCGCTCGAGTTGGATTCCTTAAAAGCAGTGATGAGTGATAGCAGAACCAGTTCTGCCCCCACCTCCCCCCGCATCCCTTCATCGACCCACATTGACCAGCGTGACAAAACATGCAAATGCAACTCCCACGGCTCGCAAAGAAGCAAGGCGAGAAGCAATGGAGCCCTTCGTCCATTCACATTTTCAGCGCTCAAGTATATATTCTGAGAGCACGAAATGTTCCGCGCTTGGTTTCTGATTGACATAGTTGTGGACAAGAAGGCACAGAGCGCTAGCCGAGGTGGCCTGTTAGCGCACACATTTCAGCTGCAAGGAGATACTCGCTGCCAGCTGGCGTTTTCAACGTCGATGAAATTGAGACGACACCATCCCTCTCAATCGGCGGTTTTCCGGAGCACACTGGAGGTTGCAAATTCCTCAACTCAACCTGGCTTTCATCCAGTGCGTCTGCAGTGAAAGCAATGTTTGCAGTGTTCTCTCTTATACTGGTAGGAACCTCCTGGTTACACCAGCCCACAGGGGATTATTGTGTCCGTCCGTCCGTCGTTCAGGGAGGGGCTGGGTGGGGAGGGAGAGGCTGGGTGGGGAGGGCAGGATAGGGAAGGGCTGGGTGGGGAGGGTGTGGCTGGGTGGGGAGGGGAGGGTGGGGAGGGGCTGGGTGGGGAGGGTGGGGAAGGGCTGGGTGGGGGGTGGGAGGGGTGGGGCTGGGTGGGGAGGGGCTGGTCACCTCGTAGTGCCTTTATAAAACTCAACGTTTAACCTACTCACGCCGGCTTGTGCCCGCCCTCACAGTCGGGCATATTTGCGGAATACACCACGCCGCCGTTGACCCTGGCCATTAACCGAGCAACCCAACGTTCCTACCAGCTCCCTCCGCAGGAATGTGTTTATACTCCTCATCATCATCAGCTACTGCTAGATGAAGGTTTTCCTACACCATCCTGCAATGAGGCAACTCGACGCGGCTCCTGCATGAGCTGATCTCAAAATTCCATCTCTGAGGCAGCCATTGGTGCTTGGTCGTGACCTCACGTTCAGCTGCACGTCTGTCACCATTATTGTCCATTGGCAATTTCTTATCTTTAAATATCTTACAGGGACAAGTGACAGTTATTCTCGTAATCAAACACAGAGTTTTTTCATTCAAGAGTACATCAAATATAATTGCTCAGCTCGCATTGAGGCCCTAAAACCGCAATGAGTTAAGGTAATTAAAATGTGCCCCAATAGCAAACCGTAGGGACATAGCAGCAAGTGTACGAAATGTATGATACAAAAATATTTAATTCTCAATTTGGGTGAAACACACTGCAGTGTTGTAACGGGTGACTTTTAATTAAGAGGTAATTAAAAGGAGCAGATGAGAAATTGATTGGTAAATTTGGTACTCGAGTGAGGAGCAAGAGAGATTGCCTGTTAGAATGTAAAGGTAATGAGTATATTTTTTTTAAGAGGCGAATTAAAAAAATGACATCGGTGAGCCCAAACAGAGAATTTGTAAATGAAATCGACTTTTTGGATAAAAAATCATAATCCGAATTTTTATGTATATTGGGAGAATCCGATGATTTCTGAAGCTCTATTTCACAGATGTCCAGTAGGAGCGGGTCAGAACGTTACACCAAAACACAAAAACCGATAGCAGTGCAAAGTATAGGAAAGTTACGCAAATCACGGAAAAAAAAAATATGCATATAAATGTGGAACTAAACAATTTTTTATTTTACCAGGCAAAGGCCACTTTGCTATTAGTTATTTTTCCTCGTCACAAATGATATCGCAACGAAGTGGCTTATAATGTGGAAATGTATCGCAGCCAAATAATCTAAACCTCGGGTTGTGAGCGACGTCTCTATCTTAAACCACATTCAACAAACCGGGAATTTCTGATGCAAGTTATTATTTCAGCAACTGCCATGTAGAGGAAAAATGCAAGGGTTAAATATAAAAAAAATATAAAATATAGTTGCAGAAGGTTGGGAACATTTTGTCCGATTTTTGGCAATAGTTTCAAATCCCTAGACAAGCAAACTGATTTAATATATGTCACGAATATAATTAATGGATTAACAAAGTATTTACGTGGGCAGTGCGCTGAATATGGGGGTGGGGGGTATGTAAAGCAAAAGCAAAGTCACCAAAAACAAACCCTTATTGCAAATAGATTGCTTTGTTTAATTATACTCGAAGATGTTCATCATTCTGCTAATAATTACCTGAGAACCACGAGGAAAACAAGAATGGGCACCATGCAAAACAAATCATCAGAAACATTTACCTTTCTAAAATGCAGCTTTATGCGTATGTGTGTGTGTGTTTTTTTTAAAGAGGTCATTCCCTGCATTGAAAAGCGAGCAAAAACATTTTAAGAGGTGAGTTGGTTCTGATTGATTGCGAGTCACTTATTGATAAATTGATGTATTGCAATATTTTTGCAGATCGCAATCATTACACTTTTTTGGGCATTATTACACCTTTTCTTCATGATTCCAATCTTATCTCCAGAAACAAAACGCACAAGGAGTACGAGGAAGACAACCCTCCCCCACCTCCGCTGTGGGTATTTTTGTGTTTGCCTTCCCAGCGCACACAGCCGCGCGGTTGGAAAAGGTGGCACTGAAGACTCTGACCGAAGGTGTCATTTTACAAAGCTAAACAAGTTGCATGCATTCTAGATTTGAAGCTTTCGTGATTGCAAGGATTCATAGTCTTAGGTTTTTTCGGTAAAGTCACGTAGGTAAAACATCAAGTTGCATGCAATGCTCTTTCGGGTGCATTACCTTCTTGCTGTGGGAGACCCCGTGCGACATCTTTGTTTCACAGTGGACCCATGCTGATGGAAGACGCAACGATTTTGTTGTTGCTGCTGCTGCTGTTATCTTGTAAATTCCCACTGCTGAGCAAAGGTCTCCCCATAATATAGGTTTTTTTTTGGGGGGGGTTAGATCGCGTAAATATATAAATGTGTCGTTAAACCCACCACCGCCCGACACAGCCAATGAGTAAGATTTGTTATGTAAACAGAATATTCCAATTCGTTGCTAGTACAGTACACCGGTGTGTTGGAGAGCAAATCCATGCTGTTTACATGACAAACCTTACTAATTGGCTGTGTCGGGTGGTGGCGGGTTTAATGACACATTTATATTTACCCGATCTAACCTCCCCAAAAAAACCCTATATTATGGATATTGGTCGCGAAAGTCTACGTGTTAACGGTCCTCCCCCATTTTCTCTAATTTCCTGTTGTTCTTGTTCAATAGTGGCCTCTGAAAGCTTTGATTTTCTCTGCTACTGCCTACTCTTCCACCGTCTACCACCGCTTCTCTTGCCTTCCCTCGGATCTACTTGATTATGAATACAGTATGTCGTGCTAACGATGCTGTGATGTCTTTAGCAACAGAATCGGTGACTCGATATTTTCCTTATTTCGCCTTTCCCTAACCTCCCTGACTTGCTATTAAAATACTTCCACCTCCCGCCCATAGATTACAAATATTGTACAATTGAATACGGATTTATGCACAGACACTGGTAATAGTAAAGTCCAGCTAATTATGACTTTTCCAATGTTTTACTTTCAATGCAATTGTGCAAACAATAGTGTTCACAGTTTAACACATTCAGTTTGAGAAGAAAAAACACAGACTGTCAACAAGACAAGACGGTCGTTTTCGTGAAGGGCAGGAGAAAATGATGGCTTATAAAAAATATATATCTATATTTGCAAATACTCAGCACATGTCTTTTGTCACGATATCACATTGCAGCGTGGAGAAGATAACTTCACATGAAGGTGACATTTATCGTACATTTTTTGTACACGTGTCTGGGTGTTGTTTGAAAAGTTAATACAAGTCACAGGCATCTGAAAAGTAATTTTATTGTCCTAAAAACATACTCCGGGCTCAAGTGTTTATCTTGATAGGTTGAGTTCTTCAATACTTCACATTGAAACGAAACTGGAACGGTCAGCCTTTCATTAAAATTTAGCAAATGCGTCTTTAGTTACATTTCCGTGAACGAAGGCATGAAAAAAAGTCCGTAACAAAGTTTAATTTGTGTGTATTACGTTACAATAACCAGTACTGTACAATGCTGTCCAGAGCCAGTCTCTCACCTACGCACCTCCGATTAGCACGTTTGGCTCCATAGTGTGCGAAAGAAGTTCAACATACATACATACACAACACACTACAACTTATGCAGTATACATATGCAATAAATACAAAACACGGATACTAAAACCCCGGTGTGGACCGGTACAAAGCGAGCCTTGGGTTCCCATAAGGCCCAAACTGGATGCACTTTTACGATCAGATTTTATGCGGAAGGCAGTTTAAATTTCGTACATCTATATTATGAATACGTATTGTGTATTTCGCCTATGTCGGAGGCAACGCTCTGAAAACAATTCGGGATTCTTGTCGAGAAGATTCATATGGCATTTAGTTTAATAGTCTAAAAAGAATTGTTTAACCTTTCAATTAAATATTTGACTAACGCGAACCATGAAAATGATATTTTTTAATTAATCGTACAGGTATATGCCGTAGAAAATGCCACATAACAACGTACATTTGTAAAGAGCATGCTTTGCTCAATACACGTAGTATTAAGAACACAAGAAATATGACCAACACGGTATATGTTTAGGGTTGGGGTTATGAATGAACAGAAAACCCATGCTAGTCTGACCCTTGTTAAAATATATATTTTATTATGCCATAGTTTGCATGAATTTCCATTCCCCTCCACCCCCCATGATTAATTGACAACGTTTGTACTGCACTTCGCAAACCGGGCCACAACATGAATTTAAATACGAGCGCTTAACTCTTGCATATCCGTGGGTGGATAGTCATAGTTGTTCGGCAAACTTAAAAATAAGGCAAATATTTTTTTACGTTGCAGACGTGTTTATAATCTGCTTTTCACTTGTCGAGGGCTTAAATCCTGGTGCCCACGTGACCACAGACATATCTATAGGTAAACCGATCCCTAAAATACACTGTAAATAAACAGATGACACATTCCGTCATCCCTATTTTATGTACGTTAATACAAATGTATATTTCAAATCCTAATTAAAATGTGTGTTGTATAATCAGCATTCGTATTTTAGCCTGGCCACCCATTCTCTCTCGTTACTTTTGTCTTAATTGCTCTTAATAATAATACAAGCTTGTATAAGTTTTAAATTGTATTGCCTAGGACACACTTCTTATTGATATTTTTAAAGTAAAATAGCGTCTTACATATTCTAAGCAATTTGGTAATCATTGATATGAAGCATTCTGAAATGTCTTTGTTGACGTGAAGTGCATTACATAATTCTAGATTTGAAGCTTTCGTGACTGCAAAGATTCATATTCTTAGGTTTTTTCGGTAAAGTCACGTAGGTAAAAACATTAAAAAGTAAAATAAAATAAAAATCACGACATTTACTTGATACAGCTGTCGTGGCTGTGATGGTACCACCTGAAGACGGAAGCTTGTGTTGCCTCCGAAACGTCGTGATTTTTATTTTATTTTACTTTTTAATGTTTTTACCTACGTGACTTTACCGAAAAAAACCTAAGAATATGCATTACATAAGATGAGAAGTTATACGTGCAGACTGACTGATTGATTACGCCCGATAATGGGCAGTTGATTGCACTTTCATTTTCAAAGTCAAGGTGTTGAGGCGAGCAACGAGTGTGCCATCCAGCCCCCCCTGGAGCCCTCTTCCATCAGACCACGTGGGTCTCAGATCTGAAGTGCACCACCTGGTGATATGTGAGGAATGTCTGCTCCTATGTTTAAAATGCCATAAAACCATTTGTGCGTGACAGTGTAGAAAAAAACTTTCCTAAACTGCCTGAAGGACATATTCGCATTACAGTAGTTGAAAACGTTCGATGGGTGGCGCATTGGTACAGCGGATAGTGCACTGCCATATGAATCTGCCCCTCCGAGTTCGATTCCCGGCGATGGCTAACATCAGTGGAGAGCGATAATTTAATCAGTTTTGACCACTGTGGTGAAGTATGGCTGATCAACCCCCGTGACTGACGAGGACTCGGGATGTCTTCATCTAGCAGTGGAGTAACAGAGGGTTGCAGAATATTAATGTTGTATATGTATACCCTCTGATTTCGCACCTCCGATTAGCACGGTTGGCGATGCACGGCGCGAAATAAGTTCAACATACGTACCAAACTGCATACGTTGATCTGCTGTTAAACAGCAAAACGAGCAAATACAAAAGCAATATAAGCTCCGCGTTTCACATTTTATACAAAAATAGAAAAATTTGACATGGCCAAAGAATAATGTGTGTGGGGAAGAAATAATATCACCAGCACTAACTAACATTCCATATTGGGGTAGAGTGGTCATCACCCTGCACTGTGAATCCAGTGACCCGAGTTTGATTTCCACATTTTTTTTTACAAGGCAAGGCACACTGAGCTATATAGCTCTTTTTCATAAGCGACCTGGTCACAAATGACTTCTCAACAAAGTGATGCATCACGTGGAAATTTCTAGCAATCAAATAAATGTGGAGGGTAATATCGGAGGACCTGTGAAAGAAATCCACACGACCATGGGGAGAACAGGACACTCCAAACATACGGGCGTCGTCTGGGTCGGGATCGAACCCAGGTCCTCCTTGAGACCTGGCGAGGTAGGAAACATCAAGCCATCGCCCGATGCGAGCCACAGCGAACATCAGTGGTGAACGACCTGTCAACCTGTCCTGGGCACCCCCGCGACCTCTTCATCAACCCACACTAAGCGGCTTGTCGAAGCATAGACAAACAATTCCCACGACTGACGCGGGCTTCCATCCAGCGGTGTATTGACGAAGGGCTGTAAAAATAATAATAATTACTGTTACGTATTTTTTCCTGCAGCCAAAGTCGTCGATCACAGGCGAGGAAGGGTGCCATCAATGTGTGTTTTTGCTAAGGTAATACAGATCATGGCCCCAACGGTAACACGTTCGCCGCTTGTTGTAGAGGTTCGCGGTTCGAGTCCGGTGACCACCCTGGTAAATACTGCGGGTGTATTAACCGTCAAATACTACACTCAGTCTGCTTTACACAGTGGAAGTGAAATATCCCGTGACGTCATTCGCAAGAGTAGGCCATTGTGTGTACCTGGCGTCATGATCCAAAGTTGCCAAATAAAAAAAAACGAATGACAATTTTTTTTTTTACTAAAATGGGATTACGCATGGCGACCATTGCCCTCGACCGCAAAAAAACTTGGCAGGATCATCCTGAAAAAAAGTCAAATGAGTCAGTGAGACTTTTACAGGTAATCAAGCGTCATAATCATATGGATGCTGAATGTAGCGCTTTCCAATGCTGGCATTTTAAAATCAGCTGATGATTTATAGAACAGATGTTTTTTTGATGCTAACAATATAACCGTACACTCAAAAAAACTAAAAATATCAAACAGAAACATTGCTCTCCAAAAAGTAGGATCAGTCTCAAGCTTCTGCAGAAAATAAATAGATATGATTATGCATGCAGTTACAGTTAAACGAGCAATAGATAAGACAATAAGTTGCTAACATCAACTTGTGAATGTTGGGTCCTGAACTGCGACAGTGGCACATACAAACGCAAATGTGAACATAACCACGTGTCGTTTCGAAAAGCCACAGAGAAGATGATTGTTGTAACAGCTCTCTCGCTGGTTCAGCAGTTCCACTGCTGGATGATATTATTTCCGCCTGAGGACGACCGCTTGTGTTGCGATCGAAACGTCGTGATTTATTTTATTTTATACCTACGTGACTTTACAGAAAGAACCAATGAGTATGGTTATAATATTGGGACACTTACCAGGTGTAAAAGCCAGCACGTGCTCTCGGTGGAATGTTTATCCATAAATTCCCCCAAACGTAGATGCGACCACAGTTATTAAAACTATGCAACAGATGATGATGATAATCTTCTTCTGCATCGTTCAAACCGCCGACGGGGGAGGGGGGAAGAAAAAAAACAACATCAACAAATAACAAAATGCCCACAAGAGTACATTGGCAGATATTTAATCATAAATCACTCAACTAAAAGGTAAAGATGCAGCCCAGTAATTATATCTTGTTCATGCCACTGCTGGAAGAGCGCCTCCGCTAGTTGGAGCTATCCCCCCTGGAGGGCATCTTTGACCTACTCTTTTAAGCTGGCCAAGAATGTGCTGGGGTAGGTGTAGGAGTACGCACACTTCGCCCCGACAACACGAGATCTGCCGATCGACCAGTGTGGAGGGGAGTCCCCATTTATACTGCTGGGGAGATAGAGGTGGACTTGAAACAACTTGCACCATCGTTGCAATGGCATAGATCGAACCGGTGACTCCGGGATTGGAAGTCCTGCGTGCTAACCATTGCACAACGGCATCATCTCGAGCAGAAAACAACTGTAACTAAAATAGAAATCAGAAATTTGATTTAAAGCTTTCGTTACTGCAGGGATTCATATTCTTGGTTCTTTCGGTAAAGTCACGTAGAAGGGAAATAATAAAATTAAAAACAATAAAAATTCTCACGACGTTTCGACTGCAACACAAGCAATCATCATCAGGTGTGAAATCCACAGCAAGAAAATTTGTGTTGCAGTCGAAACGTCGTGAGAATTGTATTCTTTTATATTTTTATTATTTCCCTTCTACGTGACTTTACCGAAAGAACCAAGAATATAAATCAGAATGTTTAGAGAAGCAACTACACATCACGGCGCTCTGCGGTGATTATGCAGCACCAGGGAGGCACGCTGCCAAAACAAGATTTGCTGTGATGACTCTTCTTTTCCCAACAGTTCTCAACGTATCATTCAAATGACGATAACAGCTATGTAACCTGGGATAAAATTACGGTTCCCCTTGAATTTGAAAGATAATTTATTCCGTCTTGCATTTTCTTCACTTAATATAAACGCAACTGTCGGATCGCCGTCTTGTACGTATTGTGAGCGTGCAGCTTGTCAAAGGAGAATACGATTAGAGATGACTGTAAATATGTATTCATCATTCTATCAATGTTCTTACCCAAACAAGACCACACAAGCCTGTTTAGCAATCTCAGACGTCTGAAAGAGGTTGCTTATCCCATCACATGAACATTAATGCAAGTGTTTCGTATCATCTTCTTGGTTCTTTCGGTAAAGTCGGCTGCTTGCGTTGTGGCCGAAACGTCATGAGAATTATTTTATTATGTTTTATTTTTATTATTTTATTATTTCCCTTCTACGTGACTTTTCCGAAAGAACCAAGAAGATGAATCCCTGCAGTCACGAAAGCTTTAAATCGAAATGTTTCGTATCATTTCACAATAGTGGTGGCACGGTGAATTTTTTGCTATAAACCCGGTGGCCTGAGTTCAATCCCTGACCACGGTAAACATTGGGGGAAGTGCGGAAAACCAATTCACACGGTCGCCACTGTTTGAGGAGGCCTTCAACTTGCGGTGGATTGACAGAGGGCTCAAAACTATTTGTTACAATGTCATAATACCACAATATATGGTTTCATGAAAATAACATTAGAGACCAAAAAAAAAATCCCACTTTTTGGGGAAAACAAGAGATGGGATTTCCCATTGTAAGAAAGAGGTGTTGACCTCGAGATAATGGCGCATGTCTTGTACGTTGAAGGCCCCGCATGCACAGTCCATTAAATACATTTACAAGGGAGCCCGCTTCGAAAAAAAAGAATACGAATTAAACCAAATAATTGACGTGATTTGTGTGGTAGTTTGCTGAAGCGAACCACAGTACGGTGGCGTTTAAATCCAATTGCTGTAATGCGCATGGGGGGAATGGGGGGGGGGGCGTGTTTGAGGATTGTTCACCTAATGTGCACCTTACGGCAGTTGCGTGTACTTACCCTGCGGGCCTTGCTCTGGTATTTGACAGCTTTCTTCGTGTCGGAGACAGCTCGCTCGACGTAATCCACGGAGTGCTCCACGTTGTACTCAATTCGGTCAATCATCTCTCCCTGCGCGTGTATCCATGGGTGCCGGTGTATGGCAAGGTGGTGGTGGGGGGGGCACGTGGTATGAAGGTGGGTTTTAATCGTAAACCAATTACCACGCTCTCTACGAACGATGAGAAACTCATCTTCTTGGTTCTTTCGGTAAAGTCATGTAGAAGGGAAGTAATAAAATAATAAAAATAAAACATAATAAAATAATTCTCACGACGTTTCGGCCACAACGCAAGCAGCCGTCCTCAGGTGAAGACCAGGTCTCCCCGACAGACCTGGTCTTCACCTGAGGACGGCTGCTTGCATTGTGGCCGAAACGTCATGAGAATTATTTTATTATGTTTTATTTTTATTATTTTATTACTTCCCTTCTACGTGACTTTACCGAAAGAACCAAGAAGATGAATCCCTGCAGTCACGAAAGCTTTAAATCGAGATGAGAAACTCATCGCTCAAAACAGTGTGCGCTGGCTGGAAACAAATAATAGTTGTAGGTTATTGTATTCATCACAGTAGGTGAGCAAAGTGTCTGAAGGTGAACATTACAAGCAGCCAGCAACAAACAGCAATATTAAAGTTTGACTAGATAACGGTTAACACTGTCAAGTTCAAGTCAATTTCATTTTTTGTTTTCACAAATGGAGCCTTGCTGGCACACATCTGCAACTCAAAGCGCCATCGCATGAATACTCAACGTAAAATGAGAACGTTGTAAACAATAACAAATAAATGTGTACGTACTATCTATAGTTGACAAGTTGGTTTTCACTCCCGCATGCAACCCAAGCGTGCTTTTCAATCTTTCCGCACACATTCTCGCGGGGCATCTCCAGAAGTTGAATGAGTGAATCTCACAGCGTTATTTATGTACTGTTAGCCTTGCAGTCAAGACTGCTGACTCATCAAAATATCAAATTTGCCCATGGAGCATGTAAACACTTGTTGTCCCGTGCGTTAGTGCGAAGTACTTTTCTGTTTTAGCAACGACCTCGGCATTTTTCAAACCGGATGCTGTGTGCCTTGCTCAACCGGCGATGTTTTGCAATGGTCGATTATATGATAGAGGCTGTCCATTTCGCATGATACGCTGGTGGTGTTCCTTCAGGTGGTAATGCCAGTAATCAGGACGTTATCACGCCACGCCAACCAAACACCGGCAGATAGACGAGTCCGTTGAATAGGGAGAAACCACGGGGTGGTTGGAGCGCTCCAAATCAACGGCTGCACGGCCAAACGCACGCAGCGTGCCGCACTCGGAGGAGAGATGTATGAACCTGGCCGGAAAGCCCGGTCAAGCGTGCACACACGCCTTCCCCGCGAAGCCAAGAATGAACGTGCTGCAAAAGCGAAGTTGCCGTTAAAGAAGAAGGATCGGTGTCCGCTTCGGTAGAGCCCCCCCCCCCACCCCCCCAAAAATAGAAACCGCAAGCAGATTTTGTATCCACAAAGGGCAAGCTGCACTCGCTACGGATGGAAGTTGTGTGTGGACTGAACCGCATGAGTTACGTGGAGCACAATTGCCCCAAATTCCCGTTCAATTTAACTGATGGGTCTGTGTAAGCCTCGAGAGCTATTATTGTACGCGCAATGTACAGTTTTGCGTGGCATTACATCTTATCCGATTAGCACGGTGTGGCGTGAAAGAAGTTTAACATACATACAGACTCGATAATCAGCTGTTGCGGAGCACGTCTGCTCAGGCTCGTTGCACGCGACATTCAGGCTGAGGTCCGAGCTAGAAGAGAACACTTCTGCCCAGGGCTGATATGAGCGGCTATTGAAGATGGAAACACTCCCCCCCCCCTCCTCTGGTATATAGATTTTTTTTTTAAACCTAGATTGAAAATTCATTTCTTTAGAACTGCTGTTCGTGTTTAGTTTGTTGTCTTTTCCCCGCACCTGCGATTAGCACGGTTGCCCACGCACGGTGCGAAGGAAGTTCAACGTACATACGTACAGACATGTTTTTTTATGGGGAAGGACGGTCTGAATGTCAGCCTAACCTGGAAACCGCTTTATTATAGATATCCTGGATAAAGAATGCAGGGCACGAGACATTCATGGGAAGGTATTTTTTTTGTTATGCCGCCGTGTTGGCATCCCCACCTGACTCTCCACCAGCATGGCCATGTCCAAGAACATGTCGTGCAGCTCGCGGACGCTGCTCTCCAGCTTCATGATGTCAGAGTGGCGCGACTCGATCTCGCTCAGGGCCTGCTTGCTGATCTGCGAGTCGACGATGATCTGCGCGACAGGGTTCGCGAACGTCGTCATTCATCGCGATCGTCACCGGCACGAGTCGTCATCGGCGTCTTCATCTTCTTGGTTCTTTCGGTAAAGTGACGTAGAAGGGAAATGATAAAATAATAAAAATAAAACATAATTAAATAAAATATTATTATATTATAATAAAATAATAAAGATAAAACATAATAAAATTAAATATTATAATAAAATAATAAAAATTAAACGTAATGGGAAAAAATATTATTATATAATAAAATAATTAAAATAAAACATAAGAAAATAAAATATTATTATGTAATAAAATAATAAAAATAAACCATAGTGAAATAAAATATGATTATATCATTTTATTAAGTTTCATTTTATTATTTTATTATAATATAATAATATTTTATTTTATTATGTTTTCTTTTCATTATCTTATTATTTCCCTTCTACGTGACTTTACCGAAAGAACCAAGAAGATGAATCCCTGCAGTCACGAAAGCTTTAAATCGAAATTCGTCGTCTTCATCTTCTTCATTTAACAAAAAGATTCACGTGTTTTTTTTATTGGGGGGGGGGGGGTTTTCCGAGGAGGTCCTGGCAAGATAGCAGCAGCACGTCAGTTCACAGCAAACAGACAATTGATGATACACAACGTATCGAAAGACTACAATTGCTGACTAGAACGCAATACACATGGCGTGGAAGGTAATATTAAATGAAAGTGATAACACGTTGTAAAACTGTGTTCCATTCGCGTGAAATTATGTAAGTACACAATTTGTGGCACTCGTGGGTACATTATGAATCTCGTAATTATTACCTACTATAATCACCCAGGAATGTCTGTCCGTCCCGCGCGTGACGTCACTGCACACGAGGCCCACCCCCCTAATTCATATTCATGAGTGGGTGGATTTTACACTAACGCAGAGGAAGGTTGTGCTGAATTAAGTAATTTATTACGCAAAGTCGCTTCAAATATGACGTTTCTTTCCAGAAAGTGGCGGTAAAAAATAAATCTACACAGCACAGTGCTACATCCGTGGGTGACGTCACTGCAAAAAAGCCCCCCCCCCCCCTTCATTAATATTCATGCCCGCGTGGACATTTACACGAACTCACTCCACATGCCACACCCCTCCCCTCATGTATAATAATGAGCGGGTGACGTCACTCCACATGCCGCACCCCTCCCCAATAACCATTAGCGGGTGACGTCACTCCACATGGGGCAACCCCCCGCCCCTCATTAATATTCATGAGCTGAACAATTTTTCTATTTAAGTTTTCAGATTTACTGCAATATACACCCGTTAGCATGCATTACTAGCAAAAATAGCAAAACAGCTAGTAGTAATTATTTACCTTCGATTAAAAGACGTGATCGGATACAAGCAGGCTCATACTCGGATATAACTGGTTCCAATCAGGTAGTGCTCAGTGAGAGAAAACTCTATGACCCAAGACAGACCTGAAAAAGGGAGCCTTGCACATATGTACTCTACCTCTAAAGCAGGGGTGGGAAACGTCCGGCCGGCTGGCCATATAAGGCCCGTGAAATCATTTGGTGTGGCCCTGCCAAGGCAACCGCAGGCGGGACTCGAAATTCAATAAATCGAGGAGAAAACCTGGAAAAGCAGTTGCGAGTAGCAACAACATGAATACCAGCTAACATCACACATCTCACTAAAGAGAAGCAGTTCCAGCCATCGCATTAGGGGTGGGTTAATTAAATGTTTGACCAAATATAACGGGCTAATTTTTAAGTTGATAATTTTGTATGGCCAGCGAATGATGTTATAAATATCCAAATGGCCCTTGGAAGAAAAAAGGTTCCTCACCTCTGCTCTAAAGTGATATATCTGACTGCAGAGCAGGGAAGACAATAGGTTAACCAGGTGAGAGGAGAGATATGGAGGTACATTCTCCAGGTATACTTGCACGGATTAAAAAAAAATTGCAAGTGGATTTTGCAATAACTTTCCAAATTCATCTAAGAAAGACTTTCCCACACGCTGCGATGACATTCTCGAAATTGGAAATGAAGCACAAAGCTACAGGCAAACCTGATTGAACAAGAAGATTGTAACATGAAATTAACAATTACATTCAGTAAGAACCTCATTAAAAGTATTATTCTGGGAAAAGAAGCACATAGTGTTATAAGACGGACTTTTTCACCGTCTATTTAAAAGCAAAAGTTGGGGGTAGGCCTTATAAACCACGGGTGTGCGTGCGTGCGACCAGATTTGTATAATATTATAAAAAAAATAAGGACAAGTTTGGGGTGTGTCTTCCTCTCCGAAGCATCTTATACATTGGAGAAATCTGTAAACGATTATAATTTTTTTGAAATCCAGGTGAAACAGCCTTGTTACAAAATCGGTTCAATAATTTCCGTGCAACACAAAGCATGCGGTACAATATTTTGCTTCAAAAGGTCTTCATCGATCTTTTTTGTTGGATAGCGTCAACACACGCGCTCTTCCTACCGTGCCCAGCGTTGTTTTCGCGTTATTAATACAATTGTCCCACATCTCCGTATCCCCGCTGAAATGATGACATATAGCTCTCAATCGCCGCCAATTGTGAATTCTACCAGTGAATGGCAACGTATTAAATTTAAATGGATTCTGTCATTTAATTAGCGCACTGGATGTGATGATATCGTGCACTTTGTAAACATATATAGTGTGTCACACAGCTCACCATACATTAATTATTCAACACCACTTCACCCTAAGTGGTCTCCGATGGACTAATGTGATGCAGAATGATATAAAATAAAAAAAACTCAGTGCAAGTATTATTAATACTGCCTTACTAACTAACGTTGTCACCAATTCCAGATCTCATGAGTACAGAGAGGGCAGAGAGATTAACCGATAATAGTTTCAGATTCTCTATACTGGGCTGCCCTACAAATTTTTAATAAAGATAACAAACGATCAGTTTTTAATTGACATGTGTGACAGTTTTTTTCTTCCTATTAGCATATACCGAGTAGCATATATAAATATTACGTTTAGATGACCTCAGTGTCAATCAATTAGGTTGGTTTGCCCAATTAAGTATGAGTTACCCTTGCAAAAACTGTCCATTGAAACAATAAAACAAGGCTACACATTTCTACAAAAATATTTTATAGAGGGGCTCTCTATATCGCAGCCTCTAGTGGGAGGCACTTCTAGCAGAATCGTCAAAATATGTATTTAATCTGGAGAAATCCGATGAGCTGTGAAGCTCTTTATCACAGATGTCCAATAGGGTCACGGGGTCAGATATTCCCAACAACGAACAATGCGAAGGCACGATAGGAGTGCAAAGTATATGAAAGGTATGCAAATCACACAAAATTTAACTAAGTTATCCTTCTTCTTGGTTCTTTCGGTAAAGTCACGTAGAATTGAAATAATAAAATAATAAAAATAAAACATAATAAAATAATTCTCACGACGTTTCGGCCACAACGCAAGTAGCCGTCCTCAGGTGGAGAACAGAGACTCTGCCTTCTCGACAGACCTGTTCTCCACTTGAGGACGGATACTTGCGTTGTGGCCGAAACGTCGTGAGAATTATTTTATTATGTTTTATTTTATTATTTCAATTCTACGTGACTTTACCGAAAAAACCAAGAATATGAATCCCTGCAGTCACAAAAGCTTTAAATCGAAATGTTAATTATCCTTATTCTACTGGGTAAAGCCCACTGAACCATTAGCTTCTCTTTCAGAAGCGACCTGGCCACAAATGATAGCTCAACGAAGTGGCTTATCACGTGGAAAATTTATCGCAGCTAAATAATCTAAATAATTCTAAATGTGGAGGCAAAAACCGGAGGACCGGGAGAAAAAAATCCACGCGACTATGGGGAAAACACCCAAACTCTAAAAATACATCCATAAAACAGTTTTTTGGGTTAGATCGTGTAAATATATCAATTTGTCATTAAAACCACCACCACCCGATACAGCCAATTAGTAAAGGGTTTGTTAGGGAAACAAAACGCGCCAAATTCACAACATTTACAATCTGAGTACGACGTTTCACCAGTAATTACAACTAGCTTCATCAGGTGGCAGCCAGATTTATATATGTATGCGATCTAACCCCCCAAAAAGCCTGTATTATGGATGATATTGGTCGCGAAAGCCTACGACGTCTTAATCCAAATATACAGGCGTCAGCAGCGGCATGAGCGGGCAATTGCAGCGCTGCACCTTTGTGTATTTTATGAGTTTTTTTACGTAATGGAATCTCAAAGCTCTGGCTTTAAACAATTAAGGGGGTCACCGCAAAATGCAAATGTTTAATCCCACTGTGTCCTCACCCCAGAAGAAAATATCGTTGGGTTTCCGCTCTCAAGCATATCCTCCAACTCCTCGTTCGTGGTTAATTTCCCAGCTGTGCAGACAAAGAGAGCCAGAGACAGAAGACATGGGACACGTTAATCATTGTAATTCCACATTCAATTACCCTCGATCATAATCCCATTCACACATTTACATGGGCCTCATCGTCCATTGGTGTATGAAGCATGTGTGTAGTTGGGTGCGCGTGCGTGTGTGTGCGTGTGCGCACGGCATGCGTGTTCACATACTGATCTGCAGCTGCCTCTGTATGCGCTGCTTGCAGCGCTCACGGTAGTCGGACTGCGTGGCATTATATTCGGACATCACTTCTACAAACTTGCGAGACAACGTCGAATGCTGGCGGAAATATGGGGGGATAACAACAGAAATATTTCAGCAATTAAAAAAAAATGATTACAGCAGCGTATTTGCGAAAGCCGAGTTCTTGCAAAAGTGTGTAACATCGTGTAAAGTAGGAGCCGACACCAGATTGCAGGGGTCTCGTCCTTTATTCCTTCCCTTCCATCCACACCTGTCCCCCAGCCGTCCCAATCTCGTTCCCGCCAAAGGCCCCTTCTTCCCGCCCGTTCTCTCCTTATATCTCTTCGATCACCCCTCCCACTAACCCATCTATTGGTGGGAATCCTTCCCCTGACACCCCTACATCACCCCCCCCCCCCCGGAGAAAAAATAACCGTCCTCGGTTCTGCCTCCCCCATGGACCATTTAAATCTCCCCATGCCTCCCCCCACTGACAGTGACGACAGCCCTTACCCCCCCCCCACAACCATACAATGCAACATAACACAACGAAATCAATTGCGCGGCCTGCCCAGGTCTCCAGCCAGCATCCCGTAACAGCCCGGACATCCACAGGCAGCAGATGACCGTGGCGGCCCCCTCCTTCGAAGGCCCTCTCGTCGCGGTCCCTGGTTCGGTGGTGCCGGTGTCGCCTTGCCCGGCGCCGCTGTCTCTCCGGCCCCCGCTCGTGCCGCCGCTCCGTCAGGCCTCACATGGGGTGCTGTAGGTGACAAGGGAACACAGGCCACCGAACCCCCTGCCGGTCGGCGCGTGGTGGTCGGCGACCTTGGCCTGGGTAGGGATGATGATGATGTTGGCAGTGATGTTGGTGGTGATGTTGGTGAAGATGACGGTGGAGAGATGTATGGCTTAAGGCGGGTGGGGTGTACAAACCATCGTCGCTTACCCAGTTGGACCTGGACGCACTGCGGTCGGAGTGCTTTAATGACCTCGACCGGCCCTTTCCAGGGTCGGTGCAGCTTTGGTGAGAGGCCAACCGGCACCTGAGGACAGTGTAGCCATGCCTGGTCCCCGACTTTGAAGGGCTTGGCTGTCACTGTCCTCTCCCGTATCCGTACATTACTCTCTTGGCTCGTGGCCGATGCGGCCTCGGCTGCTTGGCGGGCCTCTCTCAAATAAATGAGGGAGGTCTTTAGTGCCTTCGGCCATGCGTCGGCTCTTGCGGGAATGTCCGTCAACTGCACCTCAATAGGCGGAACGGGATCCCGTCCGTACATCAGGAAAAACGGCGAGAACCCCGTCGCCGCGTGTGGGGCCACCCTGTACGCCGCTAAGACAGATGGAATGTGGAGGTCCCAGTCGGAATGGTTTTCGTCCACCACTTGGGACAGCATGGCCGCTATGGTGCGGTTAAGCCGCTCTACCATCCCATCGGTCTGGGGATGATACGGAGATGTTCGGACCTTTTTAGTGCCCAGGATAGAGCAGACGTCCTTCAATAGCTGTGAGGAGAAATTCCTGCCCTGATCCGTGAGCAACCGCTCCGGTGCCCCCTTATCAAGGACATAGCCTCCCACGAAGGCATCGGCGATGGTCTGTGCCGTTTGGTCCGGGAGGGCCCACGCCATCGGCCACCTCGTGCAGTACTCGACTCCGACCAACAGGTATTTATTTCCCCGTGGCGTGACCGGCAGTGGTCCCAGGATGTCCAACGCAACCAATTCGTTGACCCTGGTCACCGTGATGGGCTGTAGGGGCGCCCGGCTTACCCGGGGTGGCAGGCTTTCGCCGCGCACATTCGACGCAGGTAGCGACCCATCGATGCACGTCAGCGGTCATACCTGGCCAAAAGTACCGACTCTGTAATGTGTACAGTGTCTTCCGCCCCGCCAGGTGCAGCAGCTGGCGGCCGTGTACGTCCATAACCAATTGTTGACGCAGCGACTCCGGAACTACCAGGCATCGTCGGCGCCCTGTCGGGTCCCATCGCATGAGGAGGTCCTCCCATACGATGTACTCCTCCCCCCCTGCCTCTGCTGAGGCGCGTAGCATTCGCAGTGGGGCTTCCTCCAGCTGTAGCCGTCGCCAATCGTCCAAGGTCAGACCCAGGTCGTGGTCGGTCAGCTGGACCTCACCCTGTGCGTCCTCCGCCGTGCGTACGGGAGCGATGACTGTCCCCTCCGGCCTCGCCTCCTTGCAGCGTGCCCCGCCTGTGGTGCATGCACAAGGGCCCTGGGGCGCCAGTCGGGACAATGCGTCTGCGTTGGCATGTCTGGTCCCTTTGCGATGCACTACTTGGTACCTGTACTCCTGCAGGCGCTCTATCCATCTGGCCAGCTGGCCCGAAGGCTGGTCGATGCGGAGCGAATACTGCAAGGCTGCGTGGTCAGTGCGGACCGTAAATTTGCGACCATACAGGTAGGGTCGAAATTGCTGCACGAAGTGAACGACTGCCAGGAGTTCCCTACGTGTGACGCAGTAGCGCTGCTCCGCTGATGAAAGCACGCGACTACCATAGGCGATAACCACCTCGCGACCCTGCTGGACTTGCGACAAAACACTGCCGATGCCCACATCGCTGGCGTCCGTGTCCAGGATAAAGGGGAGGCCAAAATCCGGAAAAGCCAATGGTGGTGCATCTGTCAGACGTGATCGCAGCTGCTGGAATGCCTCTTCCTCCAGAGGGCCCCAATAAAACCTCTGGTTCTTCGCCGTCAACACGTGCAAGGGCTTGGCAATGGTTGCGAAGTTGGGTACGAACCGGCGGTAATAAGAAACGAAACCCACAAACCGGCGTACCTCTGGAACCGTTGTGGGAACAGCCCAGGCCCTCACGCAGGCCATCTTTTCCGGGTCTGTAGCCACTCCAGACTCACTGACGACGTGGCCCAAGTAGCGTACCGACGACTGCATAAGGTGGCACTTCGACGGCTTGAGCTTCAAGTTCGCGTTCCGGAACCGCAGGAATACCTGACGTAATCGGTCAATGTGTTCCTCGAATGATCGGCTGAAGACAATGACGTCATCCAGGTAGATGAGGCACGTTTCCCATTGGAGGCCTGCTAAGGCCAACTCCATTATGCGTTGGAACGTCGCCGGCGCAGTCTGGAGGCCCATAGGCAGGCAGTTGAACTCGAACAGGCCCTGTGGTGTCCGGAACGCTGTTTTAGGCCAGGAGTCCGCGTCTAGTGGGACCTGCCAGAACCCGGACAATAAATCCAGCGTACTGAAAAATTTTGCTCCCGCCAGTGCATCCAATGAGTCGTCAATACGTGGTAGGGGATATGCGTCGGCCAGCGTGACGGCATTGAGGCGTCGGAAGTCCACACAGAATCTCAGTGACCCGTCTGACTTCTTGACTAGGACCACCGGTGCCCCCCAGGGACTCGAGGATGGAGAAATTATGTCGGCCCGCAGCATCTCCTGCACCGCTTGTTGAATGTGCCCTTTTTCCATTGGGCTCATTCTATATGTGTTTTGGCGCAGGGGTGCGGCATCTCCCGTGTTAATGTGGTGCTGCGACAGATTTGTGCGCCCTAGGTCGAACGGTCTCCGGCTGAACACGTCCGAGAACTCATGCAATAATGAGTGCAGCTGCTGTTTCTGGTCGGGCGGCAATCCCGGCTCAGGCCCCGCCAGCTGGTCCATCCACGATTCGGCCCCTCTGTCCTCGGACTGGCTGATGCTGCCTACAAGCTCGGGCTTTGTCCCTGGGGCTCCTAGTGACAAGGGACTAACGTGGGCCAGAACTGTTCCCTCCTGCACCGTCGCTGTTCTATCGGAGGTGTTCAGCACCTGAATGAACAGATGCTGGTTCCTCTGTACAATAGTTTCGGCTCCCACCAGCGCATGGCGATCCATGGCAGCTGATGCCGGAGACACCAGGATGGGTGAGTCTGGTCGGGCTGTCACGAGGGGAGACCGATATTGCAGCGGAATCAGCATCTGGGCTGCCGGGGGAATGGAGACAGACTTACTGACCAGAGCCTGCACGTAGGGTACACCCCGGCTGGCTCCCTCCGCATTTAGGAAATGGAGATGCGTTCCCTGGACTTCCACCCGCCCATTGGCCAGATCGATTTTCATTGGCATCCGCCTCAGAAAGTCCGTCCCCAACAGGCAGGGTACGGGCAATGTTGCGGAGACAAGGATGGGTCCTGCTACCGAAAGCTGCCCAATTTGTATCGGGGCTTCAACCTGGCCCAGGAAGCCCATGCTGCCTCCATTTGCTGCAATGAACGTTGTCTTGACGGGGACTAAAGGTCGGATTTTATCCGGCAGCATCTCGTGCATGGTGCTCGAGATGATCGTGGCTGATGCCCCCGTATCAACCAAGATACGTGCCGACACTCCCGCGATTTCACCGACCAGGACCGAGGTTCCTGACGTGGCCGCTACCACCCGCCTTGCCAGCTTCCTCCATTGTGTGGCTGAGTCCGGCCACTGACCAGGCGGCGTCTCGTTATCCTGTGGTGCATGGTGAAATGATGGGGGATGGATGTGAATGGACTGAAGATGGGGTTCCTCCCTTTGGAGTGCGTCGCAGCAGGGTGAACGCGCCCTTGTTACATAGTGTGGGCTTACCCCTGGGTTGCGGGCTGGGCTCTCTATGTGGTGCAAATTGCCCCCCTTTGGTGACGTAGGATGGGCCCCCCTTGTGGTGTGGGGGGCCCCCCCCATTGTAGGGGGCAGTGGGGACTGGGGGGTGGGCCTTCCCGTGAGCCCCTTCTCCCCTCCCTTCCCTTTGTCACGGGGGCGTGGTCCCCCTGGTTCCGTCTCAATCTGCCGCAAAGCGGTGGTGAGGCGGCCCGTGGAACTGCTCCAGGGCGCACTGTCAATCTTGTGGGCTGCCTCCGCCCCCGGGCCGTTGCCCCTGGCAACTCGCCGGCGTCGCAGGCAACTGGTGACGTCACGCCCGCCGGCGACGTCACGCCCGCCGGCGACGTCACGCCCGCCCGCGACGTCACGCCCGCCCGCGACGTCACGCCCGCCCGCGACGTCACGCCCGCCTGCGACGTCACGCCCGCCCGCGATGTCACGCCCGCCCGCGACGTCACGCCCGCCGGCGAAACCACGCCCGCCCGCGACGTCACCTCCGCCCGCGACGTCACCTCCGCCCGCGACGTCACGTCCGCCCGCGACGTCACCTCCGCCCGCGACGTCACGTCCGCCCGCGACGTCCCTCCCGGCCTCGGCGCGACTCCCGACGCGGTCTCCGGCCCCGGCGCGACTCCCGACGCGGTCTCCGGCCTCGGCGCGATCCCCGACGTGGTCCACGGCCCCGGCGCAATTCCCGGCGCGATCCGCGACACCACTCCTGGCCGCGACATCACTCCCGGATGCAACGTCACGTCCGTTCGCGACGCCACTCCGGGTCGCGACGCCACCCCTGGTCGCGACGCAATCCCAGGCCCCGGCGCTATCCACGGCGCGATCCCCTTCCCCCGACCCGGACAATGGGGACCGGGGAACGACACCGACGGCGCCCACCCCGAGGAGACTCCCGGTAAGTTCGCGGCGTCGGAATTATAATTGCTCGGCCCGACCGAGAGGCCGGGCAGGACGGCGTCACTCGCCTGGATCCTGTCGGCGTTCGGCCCCGGCGGGTTCCAGGTGACGTTGGCGGCCTCCGGCTCTGTGCGGCACCCCCTCGCCACATGCCCCTCTCGACCACAACGGTGGCAGACCCACGGGGCGTTCCGTCGGGGGGGCTCGGCGCGATGTTGTAGAGGCGGCTGCCAGCGACGCGGCGGTTGGTCGCGCCCCTGGTCCCTCTGCTCCGCCAGTCCCCGGATCGCCGCGTACACCTCCCGTAGCGATGGCTCCGTCTCAGACGTCGGGGGTCCGTCCCCAGCTGCTCCACAGGCAGCCTGTGGCGACGGTGCAGGTTCGGCGGTTGGTGTCGCTGGACCCAGTAGCGCCGCGGCAACGGCTCGGCTGTTCCCCCCCGCCGCGCCAGCTACCGGGCCCACGGGTGGCGCCCGGCCCATGACCTGCTCGTGGGCTTGGATGGTCCGGGCAGCCCACAGCAAGGTGCGTTCCCCCGGCGTCACCACGGGCATTACAACGCCGGCGCGGCAAGCGTAGGCGATGAGGTGCTCGACCACGAGATCCTCGAGCGCTTCTTCAGCCAGGCGATGGAAAGCTCTCCTCGCAAACACGAGCAGTGCACCCCTGTAGGATAAAGGGGATTCTTTAGCCCCTCGCTGGCGATCCTGGAACCGTTTAAAGGCTCCTTCCGCCGGGCAATAGATCTCCCCCAAAGCCTCGTAGGCCGCCTGTAGCGTGGTCTTGCTGTGCGAGGGAAGGGAGGTGTAAGAGGCGAGTGCTTCCTTGCCCAGAACGGATGGCAGCGCTCGTAGTGCCTCTTCGTCTGTCCACTCGAGAGCGTGGAAGGCAGCCTCGAATCGGCGGACAAACTCCTCCCAGTCTTCTTCCTCAGCCACGAACTTGTCGACGGGCCCCAGCCGACGCGGCCGTCCGGCCACCTGCTCTCCGTGTTGGGTGGTTAGCCCTGGGGGTTTTGGCGGGACCGGCGGCGGCTGGCGTGACGAGGTTGGTTGCCCGGCCGGCTGGTCGGCCTCCGGGTCCCGTGGCCTCTCCTCCCGTAGTACGCGTGGGGGTGGGGGTCCCGGTGCTGGCGGGTCCCCCATAGGGAGCCTCTGTAGGAGCTCCTAGAGTGCCCTCTCCACGCGGGCCATGCGGTCCTCCATGGGGTCCTCCAGGCGATCCGGGCCCCCTGCTGCTGCTTCTGATAGCAGGCCCCCTTGTTGCCCGGGATGGGAAGGATCCCCGGCCCCTGCTTCCTCCTCCCTTGGCTCTTTCCCGCGGGGATTTTTCTTTGTAGCCATGAGATCCCACCGCTGCCACCAGATGTAAAGTAGGAGCCGACACCAGATTGCAGGGGTCTCGTCCTTTATTCCTTCCCTTCCATCCACACCTGTCCCCCAGCCGTCCCAATCTCGTTCCCGCCAAAGGCCCCTTCTTCCCGCCCGTTCTCTCCTTATATCTCTTCGATCACCCCTCCCACTAACCCATCTATTGGTGGGAATCCTTCCCCTGACACCCCTACAATCGTAATGTGATCCAACTGTCCCCTATTAACATACAGTGTTTGGCCAGATTCACGTTTTGACATGGTGGCTGTAACGCATCGTGTTGCCCCGTTGTTCCCTTGGTGAGACATTGTTTCATATTTTCCGTTACGTGAAATTGGCCAGTTATAATTTTTGGTCGCGTTAATATCAACGTCACGTGGTGGCTTAGTCATGAGCGCACTGTGCTATGAACTCGGGAAAAAAAACAACCGAGTTTAATTCCTGGCCACGGTCAACATCAGTGGTGAATTCAAATCTGAACTGGTCCTGAACCCCCTACGCACCCCCCCCCCATGCTTCACGAAACCATGGTGGCCAGGTTGGTGAAGTATGATCAGCAAACGACGCCTCCGCCCCCATGAGTGACACGGGATTGCGAGGCCTCAACACGCGATCGACGAAAGGTTGGCATGAATGAGAATTGTTCATTTTAATCGTGATAATCAACGCATGCAAACATACATTCACATTCAAGGTCTGGCAGCCAACATATAGTTTGCTTGTTTCTATGAATGGCAACAACATTGTATTCACATTTATTGTGCATTATACATACGGCACAAGTATATCTGTCGCAACATCTCAGTGAATGAAACACTGATAAATGGGCTGCCTCATGGTTAATTTATTTTTAGACGCTAATTCGTGTTTTTTTGTTGTCAACCAAAAAGCGTTGCCTTTAGCTGATGGAGGCGTCCACTCGTCGATCTCACATTATACTCGGGCAGCAAAAAACGAAAATAATGACTGCGACTTATCACCATAGCGACAGATGTGTCATCACCCAGGCCCGGTCCAAATTTAACTCCGTTGCAGCGGAGAACAAACAGCCCATGGTACAACGTGGACAATGCCCTTGTCAAGCAGAGCACCTGTGTTTTTCGTATCCTCATGTCAGCTGATGACCTGTTGGCTAATTCCTCCTGCTCGATGCTCGTCTCGATTGCTAGGATCAAAAGAGTGAGGGAGTGGAAGGCAAGGGGTTTTGAAGGGGTGGAGAGGAGAGAGAGAGGTAGCCATGAAGGAGATGTAAATATCACTTTGCTGGTAAGATTTATTCGAGAAGATCGAATGAGAGTGAGTGCATATCAGGGCCGTGTGTTAGTTAATTACAACGAATCGCTGTATAATGCATTGCCATATTGCATATTCCAAATCGAATAAGAAATGTTCTTTTCAAAAATGTGTGTTTTTTAAATGTGTACACAACGGAAGTTATTACCTACTAAGTAATGAACGCTGCTACGTTATACAAAGCATTTTTGTTAAAATATAAATGTGTCTCGTAGAAATCAAGTTGTTCACCTGATTTTCATGAAAGTCATACACTATTTAGCTAGAAACATATCAAACGATGATTGCCAAAATGGCGTATAGGGCGACCTGCTGCAACATTTACGTGTCATATGTTAGTTACTTTAATATCACGTAAGAAACATCTTAACGGCATATTCAATGTACAATTACTCTTGTAAACTAGAGTATATCTCAGAAAACACTTTAACAATTGAACATATTCCAAATACTGGGATATTGTTATCCAGGGTAAAAAAAAAACAAATCAAAAGAGAAAATGCAGCGAATGTTATGTTCTGCACTTAGCTTCTGCTAAAATCCATGCTCCGAGAGCTACAAATATTCGTCTGACTGTCATCGTCACTCACGTTTCTCTCTGTAATGTACGAGGCATCAGTGTGGAGGCCCTTCCACCAGCAGTGCTGTGAGCAAGCAATTTCAAGGCTGCACCGTTACTTTTACTTATTTAGAAGCGCGTTATGAATATAAAAAAAAAATGTACGCACGATACAAAATGTACAAAAACCTTTGATGCAATCACCATACCTTTCAGCTTTGAGCGAACTTTATTCGCCGTTACTTTAATGTTAGCCAAGAGCTTTTCCAGCTCTTCTTTCGTCTCTGCGGAGGAGAAACTACAATGCGTCAATGCAACGGACGTGCAGCGAACACCGCACCGGACAATCTGCACGCGCACTCGGAGGCAGTAATGCCGGTTCTGCGATTCTCGCCAATAAAGTCATTAATTAAATGCACATTCGGTTATCCTTTTGGTGCACTACCTCGTTTTCTTTCAGCCATGTCAAGTCATTTGCCCTCCACTGTGTGTTCAAGTAGTTAGCAAAAAGGCTGAAGGGGCCAGTGAAAACATTAAATCTGTATTTTAGTCCATAGACTCACCCCCCCCCCCATGAGCAATGGCACGAGTCATTAATCGGTGCACGCAAAATCTTCCAAATGCCTTTGCTTCATCAACATATCGAGGAGATGTGCAAGAAAATAATGCTGAAAAACAACAGCGGCAAACGGCACGCAAGGTCCGCCACGATCGTACGCGTTGTGCCAAGTTGGCTTCGTTCTACGCAGCGTGATTCCACCACGCGTTACAAAACAAATAAAGGGTTATCCTTCAAATGGGCTCGCGTAATTCGCAAGAGAGCAATTTTAATCGCTGTCCACATTGTGCGCGCTCGTGCGAAAGTACTCGGGTCCACCCACTGTCGTCGGAGTTGGGTGCCGCCAGGATGGAGCTGTGTCGTTTTTTCACTTCTTCCACATTTTGTGCTATTTTCCCAACGTAGTCTCGAATCTCTTCCACCTAAAAAAAAAAACGACGACGACAAAACACCATCAGACGGTGGTGCATCGCACATCAGGTCCTTCGACTGCACCTCCGATTAGCTCGGTTGGCTACGTACGGCGCGAAAGAAGTTCAATATACAGCACATTACGCACCACACACAACGCACGCGAGCCAGATGCTCTGTTGTTTTCGAGGCACTGTAAGCCGTGGCGTGGACTCGCACGTTGAACAAGTGGAAAACGTACGCAGGGCAATCAGGGGCGGTTTCTTCATTAGGGCGATTGGGCGACGCACCACCAATGTCATTCAACCACAGAGTCACGCTAGCCGTCACTGTGCCTCTGGATATAGTCCAATCAGCGTCATGTCACGTTCTGTGGAGTACCGCCTCTTTTTGGGCGATTTCACTCCGGCTGAGAATCGCCCCGAGTGGCCCCATAGACTTACATTCAAAGATGTTTTTTTTCGACCGGGGGGCGCTGCAATGCATTCTCTATGGCTTCCGGGAGGGCTCGCCCTAACGTGCTTACGTCATCATACGTGCTTACGTCATCATACGTAAGCACGTTTCATCCAACAATATAATTTGTCGCTACCTAGTGGAATCTTTAATAAAATAAACTTGAGTGGTTTGTTTTAATAGTGAGTATAGAAACAAACAAGATGTATTGTAAGAGTCACTTTATTTTTCATTAATATTAAAGAAGTGAAGTTGCCTTTACATGCTTAAGCTGTTAATTTATCCATTGCATGGGTGGACCTTATCCTTATCAATCATCCAGACATTTGCCCCCCCTGAGAGATTTTGCAGGAGCCGCCACTGAGGGCAATGCCACCATTCCCAACTGTTACAACAACAGCAACAACACCGCGTTGGCTTGGGAAGCACACGTCGCTAGGAAGGGTTGATGGAAGAGACGGCCAAGCACACTGCCCGTGAGTGGCAGCCAATGTAACGGAACGCTCCTCCAGAGGAGATGTCCACTGATGATAAGGCAGCGAAGAAATCAGCTCGTGGGCAGGTGCAAGGCATTTTTTTGGAGAGACCTTCATTCGGCAGTGGATTAACCGTGGCTGATCGATAACGGGCATTGGCATCCCGATTGCAAAAACGTCACAATACTGCTACTTTTTACTCAAGTTGTTGCTGGAGCGATGAATGTTGGTGGGTGTTGTACTCACGCGAGCACCACAAACAACAACAGAAACGACTGGTAATATTGTCCCAGAATGTTAGCATTGCGCGGAGATGAAACGTGTGTCAACATTATTACCTGACTGAAGAACTCATCCATGAACTGATCTCGGATCAAATTGACTGTGACATCGTCGTCGTCTTCGTCATCGCTGTCCTTTCCCTAATGGCATTAGGTGAACAGGACACTCTCGTTAACAGCTTATTACATTAGCACAACCACGCAGTGTGTGCATGCATGCATCCACTCACGGACGGTCTTCAAATACAGGATGCGTTTCACGTCCGTGCTTTGTGTAATACATCTCTGCGTCCTTCAACGTGGATATTATGATGCCCACATGCAATGCCTTATTGTATGATTATAATATTTTGTTTGTAACCCCCCCTCCCTCCCTCCATCCAGCTTCAATCAAAGTTGTTTGCAGAATGGCTGTGTTTGGCTCGCTGCAAATCTCCCCTGGGTGCAATAACAACCGACGGAACTGCTTCCGTGTGCAATAAGTATAGAAAAAAAAGATTTCTGGTATCAATTCTATTGCACGGGGCCATTTATCCCGATGAGTGTGAAGCGATCGACTGGCGTCTCCCACCGTGACATATTTTATTGAATGCGTTTCAATCTCCATTTCGGGGTAAACCACACCCGCCGCTGCTGCTGTTGTTGTTGTTGTTGCTGTTCCTGCCGCCCGTTGAATGGAGCGCTCGCAAATGCCACTTGTGCCGCCGTTACACATTACACTGGTGAATGGCTCTGGTGGTGGTGGACGCTGGGGTGTATTGTACACCAATAAAACGCTACCTGCGCCGATTTAAAACTTGAAGTACAATGTTTTTTGTTTACATATAGGAACGCGTTTGTATAACGTGTCAACGCTTCTCCAAGCGTCCTGTAAATCACGACAAGGGCCAGACAACAACAGGCCCCTCGGGCTTGATTCATGGTGGGGCGCTGGCAGAGTGAGTTTTCCATTAACGCTTTGATATTGCGACGTTGTTTACAACGTCGCTTGGTTTACTTGGGAAACGGAGAGAACGACTGTGCACTATATTCAACGGATTCGCTTGCACTGTCGCTGTCGCTGGACATCGTCGGATGCTTCCGCCAACACGCGAATCGCACGTCGAGTAACACATTGCACGAGCTTAGTCATCCGACGGCTCGACGCAGTGACACGTTTGCAAAAAAAATTACAATACGCGACGTAAACCTACGCATCGAATAAAAGGCTGTAGTTTAACACGTACGTGACGAGTACACCCGTGTAAGATCACGTCGATCACGATAACCGTAATGGTAATAATAATAATACTCGTGGCATTATTCTCAGTTAAATGGGTGTGGCGGGTGAAGCCACTGGGTTCAACATCGTATCCGTGAGCGCTGTCCGTGGTACCACCGATGGCGCTCAGTGGTAGCAGCTGCCGCTTCGGCCTCTAGACACGCGGCGAAAAACAACGAAGATTTTGCGATCCCTTTTGCGCCACTCACCGCACGTAACTCCTGCATCCTATCCTTCATCGCAGCTCGCAGCGAGGCGAGGAAGTTTACAAACGAGTCCAACTTTGCGCCGCACGGCCGCGACTTGCTCCTCTCCCTGTGTCGAATTAGGCACACAGACGTCGAGTCCATCCGATATCGCCGTCTCGCGACGGTGCCAGGGGGTGGTTGGTGGAGCTCTTTTTGGCAGCTCCTCGCTCGCTCTCTTTTTCACGAATCCGCTCGCTGGTTTTGCCGGAGGGGTTTTTATTTATTTTTCACACTGTACTATATTGAAGCTACCCCCCCCCCTCCTCCTCCTCCTCCCCCCAACTGTGAGTCCAACAGTCAAGTTGTGTGTACATAGAAGGTTGTTTCGATCTTTGAAAGCGCACGACAATATTTGGCAGAGAGTTCATGGTATTTGGTTGGCGGTTGTTGTTGTTGTTGCGGCATCATCGACGAGGGAAATTAAACGCATGCATATATGTTTGAATAAGGAAAGTGAATCTCGTAAGAGGGTTCCAAATGCAGAATACTGATTTAAATTGCCAACGTAATTACGGCAGCCATATCCGTAATGAATGATCTCTCCTCAATGCACACGTTACACGAGTAGCATGTGTCCTTTCATGAAAAAAAGGGTTTCTTACGCCCAGGTCTCGCCTGTAAGTAAAAAAAAAGATATATTCCCACAGAGATTCGCAATCCGTTTAAGGGATATGCGCCTAAAGATAGGATTACATGGAACTGCCGTTCTTACCCCCGCTCCTTTAACGGCGTTGTTTTTTTTTCTTCACATGATCATTTGAACCACGTCTGCGAGTTCATCCACAAAAGGTAATGGCACACGTGCATATAACACGCACACACAGATAGCGAACCGTGTCACAGTGTATTAACCTTATTCAAGTATCACAATATATCATTGTCCCTTCCGGCAAGCCAGAAATTCAGTTTTTCAAGAGTCCAAACACAATCTCGACATTAGTGTTTTGCACGTGGTTCACGTATACAACAGTGAAATACCATTTTTTTTCATTGTGGTCGAGTAAGCTCTTGCCATGGACGCACGCACAAGCGTTCAATGCTGCAGCTGTACAGTGGTTTTTTTTTATTGTAGCTGCACCTGTTGCACTCAATCAAGCGTGGGTAGACATGGCCACGGAGTCAAGGTAATGAGAGGTTAAATAACACTTGGGACCTTTAAATGCACGTTATTTGCAACAGCAACAAAAAAGAAACCGTATGCCTATTCCCAGACGTGAGCATTAGAATATTGATGTGTAATAACCGTGATGCATAACATAACTCCAACATTAATTCGAGGTGACCTTTCATTCCAAAAATCCACAAAGAGGCCTTAAAAATCCAATAAATGCATTTACAAAATAGAGTAATTTAATCTGAGTTGATGGATGATGGTTAGCGAGAGAGTAAGAGGTTGTGGCCACGAGACACCCAATTTTCCAAGCTGTGGAGGAAATAGATTGTTGGCTGTTGGGGCTCATCCTCTCGTATTTGACGGTGTATTTCCTATTCGCCACTGCAATTTACACCCACACACAATACTCAAGAAGGAAATTGCCCAAGCATCCTCCTGCGTGGAGAAATAAAGGACGCTTTTTTTGGAAGATTTTTTTTTGGAGATACGTTTCCCAAAAGAGAGCGCATTTCAAATGCGGCAGAATAAATGCGCTTATCGAGAACTGCGTAAAAACCTACGCACTTTTTTTTCGCTGCACGGTTCCATATGAACCGAAGCAGGAGGATTTATACTGGTAGGAACCTCCTGGTTTCACCAGCCCACAGGGGATTATTGTGTCCGTCCGTCCATCGTGCATCCAAAAATAGGAGGGGAGGGGCTGGGTGGAGCGGGGAGGGTGGGGAGGGGCTGGGTGGGGAGGGAAGGGCTGGGTGGGGAGGGGCTGGGTCATGAGGGTGGGGAGGGGCTGGGTGGGGAGGGGCTGGTCACCCAGTGGTGCCCTTATAAAACTCAACGTTTAACCTACTCACGCCGGCTTGTGCCTGCCCTCACAGTCGGGCATATTTGCGGAATACACCACGCCGCCGTTGACCCTGGCCATTGACCGAGCAACCCAACGTTCCTACCAGCTCCCTCCGCAGGAATGTGTTCCACAAACTCTGGCTGCTCGCCTGATGATGCTAGTTGTAATTGCTGGCGAAGCATCTTAATCGAATTGCAAATACTCTTTAGTTCTTTCGGTACAGTCACGTAGGTAAAACAATTGTAGATCACGACGTTTCGATCGCAACACAAGCAACCGTCTTCAGGTGAGAGAGACAAGCTCTAATTTTTCTAACCTCCGTGACTTTAACGAAATAACTAAAGAGTGTGAATTCCTGCAGTCACGAAAGCTTCAAATCAAGATCGAATTGTAAATGTTGTGGGGTTACTCTCCATCACACCGGTGTGCGGAACTAGTAACGAAATGGCACGTTTTGTTTACGTGACAAACCCTTTACTAATTGGCTGTGCCGGGTGGTGGCGGGTGTATCGACACATTTATATTAACGCGATCTAACCCACCCACCCCCCCAAAAAAATCTCTATCATGGATACACAATGGATAAAACAACTACAGTACATTTAAACATAACACGTGCTAATTTGGATGATACACTATTATGCACTATGTTGAACTTATTTAATTAACTTGTATTATTTAAATCTTGACTTAAAGCTTTCGTGACCGCAGGAATTCATATTCTTTGGGTCTTTCGGTAAAGTCAGGTAGATATAATTTTTTTTATTGTATTATTTACCGTGTTTAAACTATTTTCTTTATAAATGTTTGTCCGTTTTAAGCAGTTCCCCGTCTGAGCGTCTCCTCTGCGTGATTTCTCTCTGTGGATAGCTCACTGTCTGTCGCCGTGTGCACGTTGAACTTTTTTCGCACCGTACGTAGCCACCCGTGCTGATCGGAGGTGCTGGAGTTACAACAAATTGAACGCAAAAAAGCAGTTAATGAAGGAATGAGTTTGCAACCTCTCTCTGTGTTCACCTTCTGAAGCGCTCGCTCGTCACCGTGGCGTGCGTGATGACACCACAACCACCACCACCACCACGTGACTTTTCTCTTGTATTGTGCGCGGTGCTTTTAGCGCCACAGCGCGTCGATTTGTAGCGTTTATTTTCATTTGTTTGCTGGTGACATTGTGAATTTCATATTGAATCGCCTCCAGTGCTTTTGCTGCTGGCGGCAATACAAGTTGTTTAAAAGTCAAAAGTCTGTGTGTGGCGCAGTGTCCTCTGAGTTTATACTCTGGTTCTTTCGCTAAAGTCACTTAGAAAACATAATAAAAGAAACGCGACGTTTCGGTCGCAACACAAGCGTCCGTCATCAGGTGAGAAAATGATCTGCTGTTGTGGCTTTATATAGGCACGAGAGGGGGGAGGGAGGGGGGAGGAGTTTTATCGAGTCGTGGTTGCAGGAGTTCACGGGGGGAGAGGAGGGAGGGTTTGTGGCGTGCAGAGACGGGTGAGTTTCTCTGTGTAACCTCTCTCCGTGTCTCGCTCTCTCGCTCTCCGTGTGTTTTGCTCAGGGCGCCCACTCAGTACCGAGGTGGAAACGGGCCCAGGGGTCGCACACAAAAGCAATCGAGGAATTGCATAGCCTTGACATTCAAAACCACCACCAACAACAACAACAACTATCATAACTACGATGAAAGACAAAGATATCCTGTCTATCCTGAGACAGTGGGGGAAAGTGCTGTTAACGAGCACCTATGAAAGCCGGCACGGCACACACCACGCCCGGCCGCCTTTGTCTCCCCACTGGCAATGTTTACTACACACCGCACCAGGTACTCATTTGAGGCTGAGTCCACTTAGGGGAGGCCCAGAACCAATTCAGATAATCGTTACTGGTGTTGGCAGCGGTCGGGAATGGAACTCGGGCGGCTGGGTTCGTAGCGCAGTGCGCTACCGCTCCCCACACTCTGACCACCATTGCCACAATAACCACATCGCCACATCTCAGTTATCACCACCCACCAACGCTACCTTCCCAGTTTCACCGGATTGCGTGCAATCCACTTGAGCGATTGCCCAATCGCAGTGTCACGTGATATCCACCGAACAGGGTGGCCCAGATGTCTTGTGACTCCCGAATTAATTGACCCAGAACATGTTTCTCCTTCGCATGTTAATTTATCTTCTTGGTTCTTTCGGTAAAGTCACGTAGAAGAAAAATAATAAAATAAAAAAATAAAACATAATAAAATACAATTATCACGACGTTTCGGCCACAACGCAAGCAGCCGTCCTCAGGTGAAGAACAGGTCTGTCGGAAAGACAGCGTCTGAAATGCTGTCTTTCCGACAGAGAATTGTATTTTATTATGTTTTATTTTTATTATTTTATTATTTCCCTTCTACGTGACTTTACCGAAAGAACCAAGAAGATGAATCCCTGCAGTCACGAAAGCTTTAAATCGAAATGTTAATTTATGTTTTAAATAAACCTCGCTGAACAAAACTCTATGTTTTAGATAATTAAACGGGGCGGTCGTGGGGGGGGGGGGGTCACAAGACATCTGGACCACCCGTATAACTTGGCAAGCCATCCTTGTATCCCTGCCCGACAAGGCTGGACCCGGCAGCCTCGGGGCCCAGTAACAGCCGCCTATTAGCAGCACGCGACTCGCAGCATTACAGTAAAGTGTCACGAACATTAATTCCAGCTGGGGGTTCAATCACAACCCCGCCGTCTCAACGAAGTCAATAGACTCGGTAACATTGTGGGAACATCATGGGACCTCCTTTGCCAGTACCAAAATATACTAATAGGGGTTTTCCCCTTTTTTTCTGGCAACAAAACTGACACCTTTTGCAAGGAATTATGCTTACATTAACCACAATACTTGCAGTCAAATGCAAACAAAAAACAATACTCTGATAATGTATGCATTGTCTTTGAAACTGATTTGTTTGCATTTGACTGCAAGTATTGTGGTTAATGTAAGCATGATTCCTTGCATAAGGTGTCAGTTTTGTTGCCAGAAAAAAAGGGGGAAAACCCTATTAGCATATTGTGGAAACAGTCTGCAGTGGTTTTCACCACAATCGTTTTTTTTGGCTTCGTCCCAGAATGGCGTAACTCTCCCTCCTCATGCTCCACGATTGTCTCTGTGCTGCCGTAAGGCAAAACGCTGGTGGGCTTCTCCACGAATCTGGCT